TCAACCGATCATTTTGAGCCCAAAATTAAAATACGTTGTAGGTCATCCCTTCGATGAAATTTGATTTGATTTTTTTTTAAATATTTCTTTTGTTCCTCCAAAAACTTTTAGTAAATTTTATTTTGGTGAAAAATATTTATTTATTAACATCCTAAATTATAATATTCCCCAATAAATTATTTTCCATGGCAAAAATAATTTATCAGGGCTGTGTTTCACAAAATTAATTTAAAGTAAAAATATAAAAGTTGATATTTTTCATTAATAATTTTATACTTCATTTAATGAACTTAAATAAATTTGAAGTTTTTATTGACATTTTGTTTATGTTAAATATCTATTGTTTTTTACTATTTTTGTATATTAGGGTGAATATTTCAAAAGTGTAATTTAATATCCCACTGTCAATACAATTCATTATAATTAGAACCAATAAAATGCGAGTATTTCCTAGAAACGCATTTTATCACAGCGACAATATTTTTTATCACCTTGTTTACACAGGATTTTGAAACTTTTCTTGATTTGGCATTTGTTGACATTTAAATACTGTGTTCGTTAAATGATTAAAATAATGAATTATAAACTCTAAAAGATCGATGGGTTGGTGTAAACGATAATAAAATTAAAGTAAGTTTGAATAAATAAGGTTTATTATTTTTTTGACATTTTTTTTGTTAAATTCTTGTTTCCATAATTTAATAAGATAATAATAAGGAAAAGGAAAAAAACGTCGGCGTCATTGCTCTGATCATAGTTCCATAACTCCACTCACAAGAAAACACATAGTTTAAAATCTAGATCATCGTTTCTTAACCTCGGGTCGCGACCCAAATTTGGGTCGCGGGCCATATCGAGATGGGTCGCGGGACTTGCGGGACTTTTTAAAAAAGCGCTCCGTAATCACTGCATCCTTAATTTAAATTAAGAAAATGTAGAAAATTGATGATTTTATTTTTTATCGGGTCGCGAGCTTCTAATATTCTTGAATTTTGGGTCGCCAGCCAAAAAGGTTAAGAACCGCTGATCTAGATGGTCACATTGGAGCGCATAGGTCAGTGTGTTTAAAAAGATGCAAAAATTATGTTGGGTTAAATTGCACTAAAAATATCCAAAACACATTTTGCACAAATAATTTTTAAGGCATTTTGCCCAGTATACGGTCTCTAACAATTTGTTACTATTAACATATTTTAACTTTTACTGTTACTATTAACAAATTTTATTTCATACTGTCTAAAATATAAGTTTTCTTTTAAAGCCGGTTATCTAAAACAGTACCTAGTAGGTCTAATGCGGAATAATTAAAATAAATAAAGTCTTCGGGGAAAAAATCTTTTATGTTCTCTCTAAAAATGATATTAGTCAAAAATGACTAAATTAATAGTTATTAGTGGCTGCTTTTTCACTTTTAACATGACGACATTTTCGGATTCAGGGGACAATTTTACATAAGAATTTGCTGCTAAATTTTGGGATACCATGGTTAAGCATGGTACAAGTGAAAAAGCAGCCAGTAATAACTATTAAATTAGTCATTTTTGACTAATTCATTTTTAGACAGTTATTCAAATTTTAAATTATACTTTTATAATTTGTATTTATTAAAAAATAAATCAAAAATTAAAGAATTTGATTTATTATTGTAATAATATTATTGTTATAAAATAATTTTCTTACCAATTCTATAATCTTAATCACAACCTGCCACTGTTCTTTGAACCTTTCCTTCAAAGTTTTCTTCGGTATAACTTTAACTTCCTCTTCCTTTTGGTTTTCTTTTTCGAGTTCCCCAGACATAATGGTAACTTTTTTGGGCACGTCGTAGAAAGACTCGCGATTCTCCACTTTGACTAAATTTAATGCCACACTCAACTCAAACTACCACACACGAATGACAACACCGAAGAAAATTCTCCAACAAAGTTAATTGTAAGAAATTAACCCTTGGCTTATTTAATTGACCACCTACGCCCACTCTGTTTACTCATCCCGCTTATGTCTCATTTTCTCATGTGGGCGAGAATTGAAGAAATTGTCTCGATTCACCATATGCATAAATTTGAAAAATTAAATTAATTCAAATCTAGTTTGCTGGATCTCCTTATCCAATTAAACCATTAGGATTTTACATCGCGTACTCTGCCAGACTCGCGTATACACTTTATTATTTTAAGCGCGCGATGCTGCAAAATACTGAAAACAATTCGAAATCGGATGTAAGGTGCAGCGCATGATCAAGTTTATTGTGTTTTCTATTTTGTTTTTATAGGTATTTTACTTAGTTAATCGATGTGGATAATTCGTCTCAATTATCACATAAGGGCATATGTTATATTTAAAACTTTTACTGAAACTTTTTATATAATTTAAATTATTTTTATGACACAAAAAAGTGCTACTAGACAAGTAGTACTAGGTAGTACATTTAATGTAAGATCTAGTAGAACATTCCAAAACATATTTTTTCTACTCTCACCTTTAAAACGCCCATTATTGTACATGTTTTAAATACACATTGACAAGTTCTGGCGTTTTAGTCACGGGCTAAAGCTAGCAACCGGTTTTTAGTCACGGCCTGGAGTTAGTTTTAACTTAGTTGACAGTTGTCAAATGTCATACAATCGGTAAAATAAAGTTCCTTTGTTGTAAATTAATACCAAATGTGAAAATTATTTTATTATCTTCATACAAAAGTATGAAATAGTTTCTCAACTCTAATATTTGAAAAGTTTATAGGAACATTGTACTGACCTTTTCGCCGGCAGTAAACTAAAATTAACTTAATAAAAAAACATTTATTCACTTTCACTGTAAAACTGTTGTTAGTCCATTTTCAAGGGAAATATTTCGATTTACACGTAAAAATTTGACATTTTCACCACAGATTCCCAAGTTGGTTACTCTATTGTTTTATAGATGTCGCTCTATACAAATATTTAATTATTTGAAGCATAAATTTATAATATTTAATAAAGAATATTTTTAAGGTAATAACATTGATGAAGAGTAAATTTTATTATTTATGTTTTGTAATGAATGGTTTAAATGTATTGACAATGGTAAAATAGTTCTAGCAGTATTTTTGGATTTTAAACGGGCGTTCGAAACTATAGATAGAGACCTCTTAGTAAAAAAACTGCAAAAAATTGGTTTACATGGAACAGTTTTAAAATGGTTTCAAAGTTACTTAACAAATAGATTTCAAAAAACAAAATTTAATGGAATTACATCTAACAAAATACAAACTACATGGGGTGTGCCACAAGGAACCGTTTTGGGGCCAATATTATTTAATTTATATATAAATGATATTATAAATTGCGTAAAAAAATCAGATATTTCCCTCTTTGCAGATGATACAATGATTTATATTTCTGGAACAAATATAAGGAAGCTATGTGATAGTTTAAATGAAGATCTAAAAAATCTTAATTCTTGGCTACGTGACAACAGATTAAGTATCAATGTAAAAAAATCAAAGGCCATTGTATTAGGGAGCAAGAGTCAAACTGTAAATATTAATGAGGAACTGTTATATATAAATATAGATAATAAAAAAATAGATTTTGTAAAAGTGATAAAATATTTGGGAATTAAATTGGATCAAAATCTTACATTTCATGAAAACGCAATATATACAATGAACAAAATGTCAAAAAAAGCCTTTTTTCTCAAAAGAATTAGTAAAAATTTAAGTTTGCGAACAAAATTATTATTGTATAAAAGTTTGATAGCACCTCATATTGACTATTGCTCCACAATTGTCTTTGGTTTGCCATCCTACCGCATTCAAGAAATTCAGTGCATTCAAAACCGTTGTATGCGGACGATATTATTTTGTAATAGGTACTGTCCGTTCAGGCTAAGTTGAGCGGTCTAAGGAATGTCACCCCGTCTATCATCTCTATGTTCAGGCACAATTAAATACATGTATTTCGGTAGCCGCTCTGTACGAACAAACGGCAAGCCGCGGCACTGATAAATCATCTTCTTGTTACCGAAATCTCGCGACGATTCGATGTTTAATTTAGTTAACGGCCACATGATCCCCCACCAAAGCGCTCAACTTAGCCTGAACGGACTGTATACACCAATTAAAACAATGCTAAATGTTTTAAATTTAATGTCCGTCCAAAGTAGAATCTTATTTAATGTGTTAATATTTATTTATAAAATTAAAAACAAAATGTTACCGAAATATTTACATGACAATTTAGAACTAATTTCGGATCAGCATGTATACAACACAAGAAGCAGAAATGACTTTAATGTGAAACTTTGCCGAACTTCACAACTAAGAAATTTTGTTTTTAGAAAAGGTTTAATCCAATTTAATAATTTGCCAATTGAAATAAAGTATTGTGATAATTTTAATACGTTTAGAAAATTGTTAACCAAATGTATTATCTCAAAACAACTGTGATCCCCATAAACATAAACATATTGTACCTGTTATACGAGTATAGTTTGTACATTTTATCTGTTGTTATATTTTTGTTATTGTGTACTATTTATTTATCATCATATTCTGTGTTATATTTTATATTACTTTACATTACTTTATATTTTTTTGTATAAGTATCTTTGTTTTTTTTTCTTTTATGTAATGTTTTTTTTATAGCAAAATTGCTAAATAAAGATTTATTATTATATTATTATTTATATTATATTAATATTGTGTTTTTTTATTTAATGTTCAAAAGTAAAAATATTAATTCTAAAACAATTTTTAGAAAAAAAAAACAAAATAGTATATTATTAAAAAAAACATTTATTTATTAAATATTGGTTAACAACTATTAATAACTTAAAACTTAGACTATAATAAAAAAGCAAACCCTATACTGTAGTATAGTATTCGCCTCGGCGAATGCTTTACATACATATGCACAAGCATTACAATTTGCTGTTTTCTTTGTATACGTACGTATGTGGGATGTATGCCAGACGTATGTCGAAAAACAGGTTTATGGCATTTTTAATTGATGACGCAAGGTAAAACATTCGTCGAGACGACTATGTTTAGATGTGATTTATATAAAATAAAAACTGGTTTTTAGTGTGTGTGTATAAAAATGAAAAATGTCATATAAGGGTTATGCCAATTAAAATGTAAATACATTTTTTTTACAAATTATGCCAATTTTGTCTGCAGAAGGAATATAATTGAAAGTGCACTGTCTACCAAATACGCTGCCCCGTTTATAATACATAGAGAACCCATGACTAAACCAACCTAAAATTAAAAAAAATTAATAAATAATGATATATTTTTATTTTATTGTCAAAAAAGTACCTGTCTTTCTGAGTTTATAGCGGTATATTTATGTTCAGCCAGATAACCATGCCAGTAATGTAAAGCAGTTGCACCAACTGCTACCCACATAAATACCCCAACAACGTTCATTAAAACATCAGTAAAGGTTCTAAAAACAAATTTCCATATTAAATTATTTTTATTCGAAATCGGCAGTAAAATAGTTAACAATCGGCAGTAAAGTAAAAAAAATCGGCAGTAAAGTTCTACTTTTAATAAGAGTATTGTATGCAACCATATATACATTTTAAGATGTGTCTACTGCTCCTCAGCAGCAACTAAATAATATTCGAGGTCGATTGGACCCTTTCATAAAAAGTTGTTTAATAAAAATTATAAGTTAATTTTACTAATTAGATTAAAAAATCGCCGCGTTATATAATAACCGTCGCAACAAACAGTATACGTAGACACTTCCTACATTCAAATGACATTTGATTTAATCATATATTATATCACGAGAACTATGAATTTAATCGGTTAAACTAGGCTCAGTAGTTTTTTGTTGGAAAATGTTGAATGCATGCATTTTGCAAAATAATTTAATAAAATCACGAGACCGAGTAGCGGTCGAGGGGTTTTATTTTTAATTATTTTGCATGAAACTATTTTCCAAAAAGAAAAATCAAATAAAAAACGTACTGAGCATAGTTTGACAGATTAAATTTATAGGTTGAGTGATATACGTCTAGATTATTTCTCGAATTAAAGGAAGCTATTTGACAATTCATAAAATCTGACGTATGTTTCAAAATTTATAAATATTTTTTTGAAGAAAATTCAATTAATTTAAGGTATGTAATAAGTAATAATTGATATTTCGTAAACTAGATAACTTATTTTTTATTGTTTTTTTAAAAAATGTTTGTTAAAAATTGTAAATAACACCATAAAATCGTAAACAAAAATCCAATATGGAGGCTAAAATTTAATCGCTGTTAAATAGTTCTAGTGATTTAATCGCTTATTTAAACGAAATTTATTCGAAAATTCAAGGCTTTTGATTGGTTCATATTATAATGAGGGTAATAATCATCAATCTTAATTATTGGTATTATTAAATGTGATTTCGGAAAAAATTTAATATGCACCTCGGCTTTATCACTCACGTTGTTATCTGCCTCGGCTTTCGCCTCGGCAAATAATTTCCACATACGTAATAAAAAATACGACTTTAGTGCCTTGATGCATAAATAACTATTACTTGGGTGTTAAAAAATATATATTATATTTTTATGAAGAAGCTACTGTGTTAGCGAAACAATTGTCAAATAAAATTTAAATAAATTCGTGAAACTCAAAAACAGTGTTTGTTTTATATCCAGTTATATATTAGTTATTGTTATTTACTTTTTGATTAAAGATGTTCTTATCAATACAGGTATGATTTAAAGTAAACAATTGTGTGACTTAAAACAACTACGATACATGTATATGTATATATGTTTTCCTAAAATTACTTACGTTTTATGATCACCTGCAGCAAAACAAAAGCTAATCAGAGAAACCACAGTGTATATGATGTACCCAACAAAAATTCCCGATGCCACAATTTCAGCATCTGCATTTTTTTCTTCATTTAAATTCCAGGTTCCACCAACTCCTAAGAAGTAACCTTGAAAACCCACCCTGTACATAATAATAATAATGAAGTTAAGAACCTAAAAACATAAAAAATAATTTAAAGTAAAAACTATATATCATCAGTGCAGTTTTTATTTATTAAAAACCAAATATTTTAGTGTTTCATTTAAAAGTTGTTGGTTTGTATGAAAACTTGTGAATGACATTATTTCAAAATAGCAAACATTGCAGAAGTAAACATTATATGAAATTACTTTAAGTTAATTTTTCACCTACCTACCAACATATGACCCCAATAGATAAAAAAAATTGGTACATTGGTATGCAGGTTCAAATATGCTATGGTAAGAAACATTTTAACCTTTAATTAACACCTTTTTTATTTTATTAGTAAATTTATTTTGTATTTTGCAGACAAAAACATTTTATTATTTTGTTATCTATCATATTTACAGATTATATGAAATTTGTTTACTTTTCTTCAATAAAGTCAATCAATACATTCTTTGAAATTGTATGAGAAATTTTTTATTTTTTTAAATTTATGCAATTTTAGGTACCTACTACCTATTCACGAGTTTTAATAAAAACTATATATATACATATACACAATGTGGTTTACACAACAATATCAACATTGTCCTACCCATTTAAATGGTGTTTCTACTTAATGTTCTTTAAATATAACAAATAACTTACCAACTTCACCAGTTTTATTATTAAAGTACCAACAGTTATAGCACTCGTCATTTTTGCAATATTTTCTCTCTTTTCCGTCAAAAAACTCGAATTTTAGCACTTGACACTCGCCCGTTGAAATATTACTGTATAGATTAAACGATATTAACTAAAGATAAAAGATAACAATTTTATCTGTTTAAAAATATGGGTTGACTCAATATTTGTTGTAGAGATATAAAAATACAGGTGAATTGTGTGATAAATGAAACAACAATTTGTTGCTCAAATAATAATATTAAATATGTTTTCTATTTTCATTATTTTTGAAATAATTTTTTTAGATCTTATGAATTCATACCAATTTTATGAATTCATACACCATTAGAGAATCACTATCATTTTTATATTATAAATCTTTATATTATACATATATATATATATATATGGGGTATTCCATACCAAATCGACCACTTTTGAACCCGACCCCTTTAGATTTTGCTGAAACTTTTCCATCCTTTTCTACCCTTTGAAAAACATTTTTGAAAATTTTTTCAAATTTTTTTGTCCAACCTCAAAAAAGTTATGAATTTTTAAAAAAAAATGGCTTTTTTATTTTCAAATAGCCATAACTTTTTTAGAAATTGACTTTTGGGTACCTTTTTTTTAATTTTTGTTTTTGAATGAACTTTTGAAAAAAATACACGAAAAAATACACGAAAAAAATTTAACATGATCAATTATATAAAATAATCGTTTTTTTTTAGTAAAATCGTCATTTTTTCGAGGTTCGCCATTTTTTTTTTTGTTTTTTTTCTCAAAAAAAACTTCAATTAATTTGACAACTATCCCCGCTAATCCCGGAGTGGGCCGATTTTTTTTTGTATTTTTTTTATTTATTTAAAAAAAATTGTCAAAGAAAATTCGACATTTTTTTTTTAAATAAATAAAAAAAAATTAAAAAAAAATCGGCCCACTCCGGGATTAGCAGGGATAGTTGTCAAATTAATTGAAGTTTTTTTTTTGAGAAAAAAAAAACAAAAAGAAAAAATGGCGAACTTCGAAAAAATGACGATTTTACTAAAAAAAACGATTATTTTATATAATTGATCATGTTAAATTTTTTTCGTGTATTTTTTTGAAAAGTTCATTCATGGCTATTTGAAAATAAAAAAGCCATTTTTTTTTTAAATTCATAACTTTTTTGAGGTTGGACAAAAAAATTTGAAAAAATTTTCAAAAATGTTTTTCAAAGGGTAGAAAAGGATGGAAAAGTTTCAGCAAAATCTAAAGGGGTCGGGTTCAAAAGTGGTCGATTTGGTATGGAATACCCTCGGGAATACCCCATATATAAATACATGAAACAACAATAAATAGTTGTTTAAATAAAAAAATTATATTTTCTAAATTTTATTTATTTCTAATATACAGGGTGTCTTAAAAATGGCAGAAGGTTATTTTAAGTACAATTTTATTTCGACCAGTACTTTTTGAGTTAAGGGTTTAAAGATTTTTATAAGAATATTTTTTTTTATATGAAAAGATTAAACACAATTACAATATACAGGCCCCTACAATATAACTTTAGTACGTTGTAAAGCCCAAGGCGACGTTATAAAACCCAGCTTTGGGTTTTACAACGGTGGCCGTGTATATAGAAGCCATTTGAGTCTCATTTCTTTTTGCACCCTCCTGCCAAGTTTTTTAATGGAACTCAAAAAGTACTATTTATGCATTCATTTATACAAAAAGTTTGGAGAATTTCACTGTAGGGGGCGCTTCTGAGTATATATTTATAAATATATATTAACGTACCGTACCCTAAACTAGGCAACACTGATGGGCCCGACAACGCGCGTATAATATATTTTTATAAATATACGGTGGCTTTAGAAATTACCATAAAAGCACTATATGTATACCATATACCATATAATATGAGTTTATTATATTGTAGCAGTTTACTGATCTATAGATTGCTGTTGCAGTTTAAGTCCAAAGCGACATACAATTTATAAAACCGCGGTACTACACCTACTTGGAAAAAAAGTATGAAAACTATTATTATTTGTATTTTTAACTGAAAAAAAGAATAAACAAGTTTATTTTTAATGTAAAAACAAAATTAATGCTAGTTTGTTTTATTTCCATACAAAGTTTAAAACTTCATAGTTTTTGATAAATTTGACTCAACAAAAGAAAGTTTAAGATTATTTTTACAATTTTTGGGTTTCCTGTAAATATAATTATTTGGTTCAAAAATCCAATTAAAAATTTATTTTATTTTTAATAAGTTGGCAGAAATCATTAAAAGTTTAAAATAGTTTTTGAAGTTACAGTGTGTAAAAAAGGTAAAACGCAAAATATGTTATACCTAAAAACATTTTGAGGCTATTACCTAAATAATTTTGTTTTTCAAAACTGTAAGTTGATTTTGTAAAGTTAATTAAAAATATGTCTCAATTTTTTTTCATGATACACTTTTATACCAAACTAAAAGTTGAAATTTCGGTCTAATAAATTTATGGATAAAAAAATTACGAAATATTAAACGAAAGTTGGTATCTGGGGTATTTTTTAGATTCTAAAGAACTTTTCTTTTATTAACTTTTTCCTGTCACTCTAACGCGAAGCAAAATATTGACAATGTGATCCATGTTTTTGATCGTAGTAGGCCAGGCGGATAACGCATTTTGCGTACAACTGGGGTGCTTTCACGTAAAGTAAAACACACTGTATATATTTTTTAAAGTTTATTTAAGCTTCATAGAAAAACAAAATCATGACCTGCGCGGACCGGTCGTTTTAAAATGGAAGGAGGCATGATAAAAAACAAATTTAAATTTAATGTATGTTCTCTTTACCCACAAGAAATACCCAAAACTGTTTTAACAATATTTAAGACATATTTAACAGGACATTTTCGCGATTGGCTCAAAATACACTGAAAAGGATTTATTGCATTTTGTTTGATCGCTCCTCAGTTGAGCTCTTATTGTATATTTCATAGTTGGCGTTATTTCTTCAACAGTTTTTTTCGGGTCATACTTGTAACTTTCTACTATAACGCCAGTAGTTTTATAATTATTATCATTAGTGCTAATAAATAGTAATCATCTTTATTTATCTTTATTATTTACTTAATCGCCTCTTTATTGACATCTTTTACTACAATGACTTATTTTAGTTCTTCTTACGTAGTTTATCATTATAAGATAAGTCATTTTGCTTTACAAAAGTTTTAGGTGTACTTATTTCCATATTTAATTTTTTTATTATATGTTAATTTATAGATATCATATATATGTGTTACGGTTATTACGATAGTTAATTCGCGAGTTAGCCGGCTAAAACGCGAATTAGCCAGATGCCAAGGATAAAGCCGAAATGTTTCTTAGTTCCGTTGTATTATGCTTAAAAAAAATATTTTATTAGATAATATTATGAATGTAAATAAAACTAAAACTAACCAACCCAATCCGACCCAACCAACTATGTTTTTGCCAGTTTAAGAGAAAATCGTTAGAAACTCTTCGGAGTAACTCGCTAATAAACTAATTGCTCGTATTAACCGTAACCTATGCATAAATGAAACAACAATTAAAATTTAATGATATTTGAATAAATAGTATATTAAAGTACAAGTTGCAGAAGGCCACATATTCTCGCACGAATTCGAAATTTGGCCCCGAGCGACGAAGGAGCGAGTGGACGAACGAATGAGTGCGAGAATAGTCTTCTGCAACGTGTGATTTATACTATTTTCTCGATTTTAACTTTTATTTAGGTTTTTTTAATTGTTTTGTGGTCGTTTTTAGTTGGGGGATTTTTCTCGCAAAATGTCAGTTGGCAACACAAAATGACAGTTGCATGGACAGGTAGATTTATTTTTATTTACTATTTATTAATAATCTGTCTGTATTTGTCAACTGGATAATAAGGTTTTGTGTAAGTATTGTATTATTTTTAAATGTTTTCTGATATTTTTGAACAATTGTGTTTACTTTTAGCAGTGAAAAATGTCACAGGAGGTTTTACAAGCAACACCAAACATTACAATAAAAGTTTATAACAATTGTGCTAGTGATTAATTTATAGTAGTTTTGTGTTGTGTGTACTGTGGGTATATAATATTTTCAATAAAATATAGTTTGATTGACCTGTTTGGCTCATTTATTTGTCAATATTTGTTATCCTGCACAAGTACAACCTGAACTGCACTTTTTCACATTAAACTTAAAATTTTGCATTAAAATGCATTGTTGGAGCAAACTTATTATAACAAAACAATAATAAAGACTACATTTTCAATAAAAGTGTAGTTCAGGTTGCACTAGTGCAGGATAACAAACAAAGCTATTATAAATAATCCTAAAAGTAATGAATTTGAGGTTATTAAACAGTTTGACATTTTGGGGGTACCAATACTTAAAAACTAAATGTTACCAAAAATCGTTTAAGAATGAGCTTCATTCTTCAACGATTTTGCGTGCGAGAATATGACATTCTTACATAAAAATCGAGAAAAAATATTTGTTTTTTAATTTTATTTATTCCTTATATAGTTTTTACAGTTATATTACAAAATATCATAAAAATATACAGAAACATCGTCAAACCTGTCTTAAAACCTAAATTACAGTTAAATGGCAAGTGAGTTACGATGTATAACCCCTTTAAACACAGCAAAAGCTTATTAAATATATATAAAAAAAAACTAAACTGAATCTACTGAGATGAAGGTGCAAAAATAAATAATCAAGAAGTAATGACAAATAATGGTAAATAAATTACTACACTACAAACTAAATCCGTGACTAATCACTTGGCAGCAAGGTGTTTTCCAAACATGCCGGACCTTGACTTGGCCAGTTACAGGCTCCCAAATTATTATCGAAAGTGAGATGAACGGGACAATTAAAGACGTGAAGGGTAAATCTATTTTTCTTACAATCCCATCTACAGGCGTAGAATTTGTTACATTGAGTTGGATGTCTGAAAAGACCTGCTCTTTGACAGTCCACAGTTCCTTGTAGTTTTTCGTTTTTACTCCTAACGCCACCCGGTCCGTATCTGTCAAACGATTTGCTTAATACTTCTTCAGTGCCTTCCTTGGCTCCTTCCTTAGCAGCCAGTTTGACAAGCTTAAGTCCTGTACGGACAGCTTTAGCAATTTGCCTGTCTGACGGACCGTCAGTGGTTACTTCAACTACTTTTACTGGCGTTACTCTGCTCTTGATTAGGATTTCGGTTGCTTCGGTGGTTGGGAGTGGTCTTATTACTCTGAGGCGTTTTTTGACTTTGTATGCTTGAGTAGTGCTTGATGGTACAGTACCAGTTGTGCTCTTAATGTATACTTCAGGTGTTGGCGTTATTTCTACAACAGTTTTCTTAGGGTCATATTTGTAACTCTCCACTATCACTCCATTGGAGTTTTCATCATCATTATCATCGGTGTTTACTAAATATACATCATTATCATCATCTCCTTCTTTTCCATTTGCTTCATCATCATCTTCATCGTCTTCATTATCTTCTTCTACTACAATGATTTTTTCAGGCTTCTTTTTACGTAGTTTGACAGTATTAGACACACAAGTACATTGAGCTCCCAATTTAGCAGCCAAAAGTGGATGAAAGTCATTTTGCTTAATAATAGTTTTAGCTGTAGGTCTACCAATCTTCACCACTTTGCTTGGACGTCTTGTTGTAATTTGGATTTCTGCTTCGTCACCGTAAGCCTCAGTAGTTGTACTAGTAATTACTCTTACCCTTGATCTAACGGGTAAGTACTCTCTACTTGGCCCTCTAGTTCTTGATGAATATGTAGTTGGTTTAACAGTGGTAGTTACAGGAATATATTCTCTACTTGGTTCTCTAGATCTTTGTAAATATGTGGTTGCCTTAACAGTTGTTGTTTCTGGCAAGTACTCTCTAGTTGGTGCTAAAATTGTTGTAGTTTTTACAGGCAAATATTCCCTAGTAGGTTGGACAACTGGCAAATATTCTTTTGTTGGTCTTACTCTTATTCTAGCAGTCGTCACTTCAGGATTTTCATAAGTTTCAACGTATTTTGGTGTTGTTACTTTAACTCTCTGCCTTGCATATTGCACCTTAGGTATTCTTTCGGTAGATACAATAATGGGAATAGCAGGTTGTTGATATTTGGTATCCAAAGAACTAAAAGAATATCTAGCAATGGGTCTACTAGTTGAAAAATCTTCTACTATTGGTTGTACAGTGGTAATTCTACGCTGTTCATAAACAACTGGAGTAATCTTTACTTTAGGAGCAATCACAGCTTGCACTGTAGAAATATAAGTAGGATTAGGCGTGGTAGCAATAAATTCTTCTTCATACTGAGGCGTAGTACTATATCTGACCCCCTGCACCTTATTTTCGTAATAGTAATTCGAAGTTAAAACATCAGAATTATACTGCTCATCTTTTTGATATACCGGTGTTGTGGATACTACTCGTCTAGGTGCAGAATAATTTTCAACATAAACAGGCTGTTCTTCAAACTTAATAGCAGGTTTATCATACTTATATCCAGTAGAGTAAACCTTCTTTTTCACAAATGGTACTTCTTTAATGGGTTGCAAAGTTTCATACTGTTGCACTACAGGTTCTTTATAAACAACTTGTTGTTTTGGAGCTTCGTAGGTATAAGTGGAAGCTACTTGAGGTCTACGATATTCTTGTACAACCACTTGTGGTCTTTGGGTAGTTGTTGTAAAGTAATTATAGGTTTTAACCACTACAGGTTGTTTGTACTCGGCAACAATAGGTTGTTGGACAATAGGTCTTTGTGTCGTAGGTGCTACATAATTGTAGGCTTCCACAATTGTTGGTTGTGTATACTCCGTGGGTCTTTGAGTTGTAGGTGATAGGTAGTTATAGGTTTGCACCACTGCAGGTTGTTTATATTTCGTTACGATAGGTTGTTGAATTACTTTTGGTTTTGGTGTAGTCTGTTGAACATAATTATAAGAAGTTATAATAGCGGGTTGTCTATACTCGGTTAGAAAAGTTTGTTCGGGTTTCTTGTAGAATATCTCGGTTTTTGGAGTCGTTGGAGCAATATAATTATAAGTAGACAACACAGTCGGCTGTTTATACTCTACTAAAGGTTGTTGTTCGATTACTTTGGGCTTTTGTGTTGGCGCTACGTAACTGTATGACGATACAACAGCTGGTTGTCTATATTCTGTCACGACAGGTTTGTATTGTGTTACAACAGGTTGTACAACTTTAGGTTTTACTGTAGGTGTTACGTAGTTATATGTCGATACAACTGCGGGTTGTTTATACTCTTGTACGGTAGGTTTGGGTTCTTCCACGAAAGTTACGCTAGGCTTAGGATATGTGTAACCTGTCACAACTGGTTTAGATGTAGGTGCTACATAATTATATGTAGGTACAAAGGCTTGTTGTTTGTACTCTGTTACGATAGGTTTGGGTTCTTCCACAAAAGTTACGCTAGGTTTAGGATATGTGTAAGCTGCCAAAACAGGTTTTGAAGTAGTTGCATAATTGTATGTCGAAACAACAGCTGCTTGTTTATATTCTGTAACTTTAGGTTTTGGTTCTTCTACGAACGTTACGCTAGGTTTAGGATAGGAGTTACCTGTTATAATAGGTTTAGATGTAGGTTGCACGTAATTGTAGCTTGAAATAGTAGTTGGTCTGGGAGTTGTATATGTGGCTACAGAAGGAGCGATATATGTATTTTGTACGACATCCTTGTATGTATACTTTGTTACGGCAGGTTTTTGATATGTATAAGTTGAGAATACTGCTGGTTGCTGTTTGACTAACGGTACAATATTTTGATAAGTCGTTTTTTGTGTTACAGGGGCTTCATATTTGTAGTTGTAGGTCTGGATAGGTTGCTGATAGGCATACGTAGATACCACAGGTTTTTCCTCGAAAGCAACAGAGGGTTTTGGGTAAGCATAACCATAAGACTTTACTTCATTTGCTAAAGGTTGCTGTTGGACGTGATACGTGGATACGACAGCAGGTTTATGTATAATTGGTTTAGGTTGTTCCACAAATTGTAGGCTAGGTTTAGGGTATTGATATCCAACGTTCCCAACTACACTTTTTTGTACGCTAGGCTGTTGATAGTGGTATGTAGATACTACGACAGGTTGGGCGACAATGGGCTGGACTTCCACAGGTTTCACGTAGTCGGTTTTAAGGTTAATTTTCTGATATCTTATTTGTGGTTTTTCCTCAAATGCAACCTTAGGCTTTTCGTAAATATAACCCTGTGATTGTTGTTGAATAATTTGCTGTTCTGCAAATGGTTGACGAATTTGGTATGTAGAAACAGCTGGTTGTACCTTAACCAAAGGTTTTTCTTCGAAGACGATCTTGGGCTTTTCATAAACATAACCTTGGGATTGGACAACCGGTTGTTGAACATTATAAGTAATGGGTTGTACTTTAACGGCGGGTTGTTCGGCAAAGGCTACAGAAGGTTTAGGGTAACTATAACCAACCTGTTTGGCGATTTGTTTATAATTATAGGCATATGTAACAGGTAGTGTAGTGGATGAAATACTAAAAGGTCTTGGTGAAGATACAGAAATAATTGGTTGTTGGTGTACATAGGGTGTGGAAGTCGATGAAATAGTGAAAGGTCTTGGTGTTGAGTAAACAACAGGCTGAACTACCTTATGTTCTACAATAGATGGAGTTGAAGATAGAAATACTTGTGGCTTGGGTGTTGATATATCACGGTACACGGAAACAAAGGCATTAACTTGTTGTGGGTTTTCTTCGAATGTTACAGAAGGTTTATTGTATATATAACCACCATATGATTCATGTTTGTTTACTTGTACAGTGGGTACATCAGGGACTGTTACTTGTTTAACATGTGTTTCCTCAAATGTTACAGAAGGTTTTTTATAGACGTAACCTCCATAGTTTTCCTGTTTCTTTATATGTACGCTAGATACAGAAGGTTGAGTTACAGTAATAGGTCTCTCTTCAAAAGCAACAGATGGTTTGTTGTATACATATCCTCCACTTTGGTGAACAGTATTTTGTTCTTTTACAGTTTGTATTGATCCTAGATTAATAGAAGACTGTGTAACAGTAAAAGGTTTTTCTTCAAAAGCAACAGAAGGTTTGTTGTAAACATATCCGCCACTTTGTTGTACGGTATTTTGTACGTTTAAAGTATGTATTGGTTTTACAAAAGAAATAGGCTTAGGTTCGAGTTTAACAGACTGTAAAAGTGTAGCTGGCTGTACCTTTTCCTTGATTATATACGATCCTTCTTGGAAAGACACAGCTGGTTTGGGGTAGCTATATCCTTCTACATTTTGTTCCACCTTGTACTGTAAATGTGGCACATTAGCCACCACTCCACCATTATAAGTTTCGAAAGTTTTTACAGTTTTAATGTTTGGTATTGGCACTGAGGTAACAATAGGAATACTAGATGCTGTTGGTGAAGATGTAACTTGAGGAATTTGATTGTTATTTCCATTGCTGGATACCTGTACTCCATCATTAAATGCAGAGTACCCACCATTAATTATATTAATGTTACCCAAAGCAGCTTGATTGTATTGAGCACTACCAAATGTACCCAGACCAATAGAAGCGGTGTTGTCATATTGAAGTTTGTTAAAATATTTTGTGTTTTGGTTATCGTCCAATAAAATACCATCTGAGTTATCTCTGCCTTCTATATCACCCGTAGATGTATATTCAGAATTTGACTTGTCATGATACTGTGTAATAGTTTGGTGAGATTTAGCTCCATAGTTGCCCGAGTCCCCTAAGTTTGTTTGGCCCAAAAGAGAGCCTGATGCAATATTTAAACCAGTTGAGTGAAAAAGTGTACCACTGGCTTGATTAGATTCTAAATCCAAACCTAATACTGCTTGTTGAGATGTAGCCTTATAGTTGTCATTTGAAGATGCATATCCAGAGTTTGACTTGTCATGATACTGTGTAATGGTTTGGTGAGATTTAGCTCCATGGTTTTCAGATTTATCCAATATTGCCAAGTTTGATTCACTTAAAAGTGTGCCAGATGCAATAGTTGATCCATGTAAGGAACCAGATCCGAAATCCAAACCTGTTACTGCTTGTTTAGATTCATATTTGGCAGAGTTATCCAATGTTTGCAGTTTGGCTTGACCCAAAAGAGAGCCAGAGGCGATATTTGAGTTATGTAAGAAACCAGTTGATTCCAAAAGAGTACCACTAGCCAGATTCGATCCTGAATTCAAACTTCCTGTTTTAAGTAATCCAGCGTTAACCAAAGATATAGAAGCTTTTTCTGATAGACCGTTATTTAGACCCAATATGTGTGTTGTACCAACATTGCTGTAAACTTTAGCAACAGGCTGATTTATTGTACCGCTTAGGCCTCCCAACTTGACGGCGCCTAAAGAACCAAGACCATCGTACTGATCTAACAAATATCCGGTTCCGTAAAAGTTTTGCGTTGCTAAGTTAAGGCCGTAACCTTCTCCGCTCGCGCATCTTGGTACAAACCAGGGCCATTCGCAGAGTAGTTTGTCTTGGTCAAATACTAAGCCGAAGGGACATCTAAATTCGTAAGCTGAGAGAGGAGATCTTCCGTGATCTAAACAGGCAAAGAACCAGCGGCAGTTTTCTGGATCGGCGTAGTAGCCTGGAAATAAAAATAATATGAAATAGAAAACAAAAAAATTATAATAAACGAATGCAATTGAAGTAAAATATTAATAAAGAAAGATTTAAAAAATTATATTATTAATATGGATTAATGATTTTATAATGATTTATTAACTATTATAATTTTAGTATATTTTACTGTTTTTTTTTCAACAGTTTGTTTTTAACCTAATTTTTCCAATTAATGTAATATTTTTTTTTATTTATTTATTTTGAAATTGTTAAAAAATCATAAATCAATAAAAAGAAACAAAGTACATTAGCTATTGCAGAGAATATTAAATATAAATTAAAGATTTTAATAGTATATTAAAAAACAAATATGTCATAAGACGCACAAGATTAGGACAAGTTTACTAAAGGAGCGGGTTTATTAATCGACTATTTGACAAAATTTTAGGAATAATATCGAATTCTAATTTATATTACATTTTTTTGCAGGGAGTATCAAATGTCAGATTGACGTAAGCCACTAACAAAAAGGAAAACTCGCTTGAACCATAGAAATAAAAAGTGATAATATAAGTAGGTATCTAACATACATAATAAGTGATATTTATGTGGCTTTTTGAAAAACGTACCTACACTAAATTTTGAACATTTTAAGACTAAATTCATTCTCCTATCTTGAAAATTGACCAAGTTGGGGACTAACTGTTGAGCTTTTTAAAAGAAAATATATTTTCGAGGGGTGATTCTACACGTAAAAATAAAAGAAAGTTGGTAATTTTAGGAGCTACATTTTGGTCACCGCTTTGTTGCTGCATGAATTTATCGATGGTTATTTGACAAAACATCGTAAGCGACAAAACCTAAATTTTACAGGAGAAATATTTCTTGTGTGGGAGCTTTATTTTTAAAGTTATTTATCTGAAAACTGGTGAGGCATTATTTTATTAATGTAGAATTCAAATATTTAAGTAAGATCGAATCCAATCTAAAATTTTCATTAAATTTTGTGGCATACGATATTTTATAAGAACATCTTTGGAAAAATTTAAAATTAGTCTTGTCACTTAAGTTACATTTACGTTACTTTGTGGGATATAGATTTGATGATTACTTTTGTCAAAACATCGTTAGGGACATTTATTTTTGTACTTTTATTATTAAATAAAAAAAATTACAAAATAATTTATAAAATTTCACCAACGATATTTTGCAAAACAATGTTTGAAAAAAAACGAACGATTATTATTCACAAACCAGTATCTAACCCATGGAGCCTACACAAGGAGCCCGAACTTAATAGGGGAAATTGACAAAACCTGCCCTCTTATCTTAGGAAGATTCTTATTTACATGGTATTCGGACTCCTTGTACCATGATCTAACCGTTATAAATTTGAGCCAAATTATTTGACGCTAGAACAACATACTACAAAAAACACTGCGTACAAACAATTATAATTAGTAGAACTATTAATAATGCAATGAAAAAAAGGAATTATAAGCTTTTGATCAAATAAAATATTGTTTTAAAACTTGGTAGCAATCACAACGATGCAAGTATACTTACAAATAAACTGTTTAGAGCGGGAATAACGCCTTGATAGATCAAGGCGAGAGCACAATATTATTAAGCGACACAATGTTAAATTGCAAACGCCATGTCTCGGAGTTGCTTACGATTATTTGTCGGGAACATATAGGCGCTTACGTTATAAATCGGTAACAAATTAAAAAGAAGAGGCGCATACAATAATAAAAATATTCAAACTGACCAATTTTAGATTCCAAAATTGGGATAACTTTTATGTTAACATGTGCATCTTATCGTGTGTAGCTTATCGTAACTGACACTTTGATCAAATAAAAAGTAATTCAACAAAATTGTCGCTTACGATGTTTTGTCAAATAACCATCGATATGCAAAAACAATTGTTTCTGAAAATTGATTTTCTCCCTTTTTACCTATTGCGATGTTTTTAGAATACTCCCTAAATAAATAAGTAAATTAAATTTGTAGATTTAAAAATGTCTTATAAATTGACTATTTAACTTAATTGTATGTGTGCTATTTTGATTAAAAAAATAAAATTCCGACCGGTATAAAAATATTGGTTTCCGTACCTAAAATCTTAAACTTTTACTGGCCTTGTATAAAATAATAAATAGGTACTTTTCTCACAAAGCAATTTTATGTTTTCTTAATTTCTAAAATGCAATGGTGTCTAAATGATACCACACACGTCATAAGAACGGCTGATTTGCAAGTTGTGCAAAAATAAAATTAAATGTTAAAATAAAAAAAAACATTTTGTATTAAGATTTTATCAACACTGTACTTGGGAATCAATTTTTTTTATGGCACTCTAATTTTCTAAATAAGCAGGAGTTCTTAAAGGAGAATAAAAAGGTTTCTCCTATTGGCAACCCAAACACAGTGTATACTGCCATCTGTTACTTTAGATTCGCATCGTTTAAATCTCATAAATCTTACCTCAAGAATATAATCAGAATTCTCAAATTTAAATAAACTCAAATGTTATCGGTCTATTTTAGGCAAAAACGAATTTGTTTCTTCTGTTTAATTTTGCAAATATTATGCTTCAGTTCATAAAAAGTTTATAAATAAATAAAGATTTACTTACATTAACTTAAATAAAAAAGTAAATTTTATTTTATTTTTTTCCATATTTTTAGTTTTGATTTTACTTATTTTAATATTAATGTTCTATTTATGGGTTTTCAAAGGATATTTTCAACAATATTTTAAACATTGTAATTCTAGAATAGGGATGGCGAACCTATGGCACGTTTTAAATTTTTCTTGGCACGTTTTGAGAACAAAATTTGTTCATCTTAAGCTAATTTTTAAGTTTAATAATTTGCGTATTTTATTCCAATTAAAACATAACTTATAACTAAACTCCTTAAAATTTAATGTCTATGTTAGCCTAAGCCATAAGCCATAAGCGACAAATTTTACAATTTTTAATAAATATAGCTAGAATTTTATCTAGGTGTAAAATATAAACAACGATAAAACTTCTTTGTTTGTAAAGCTTTTAATTTATAATCTTGAATGTTTTATTACAAAGTTTAACGTAGGAATAAGCTAGATTTTGATACTGTATATACTATACAGACTTAAATATCTTGAACAATAATGGTTTTAAAAAGAACCATGAATTTTAAAACAAAATGGGTTATTTTTATAAAAAACAAAAATGCCATTTTCTTGAAATTTACAACATAGAACCTTCTTAGTAATTTAATGCTCCAAATAAAATAATTCTATTTCCAATTTTTATGAACATCTATTTTTAAGTATGCATCTATGTTAGATTTTGATCTTTTATTTCTTCTAAATCGTACGGTACAGATATAATCTAATGAAAAAAAACGAGACTAAATTTATTTCTTAAAATATAACAATAAAAAAAAATTTTTAAATAATGATTTACTTTTTTTTATACTTTCATCTTCATAACACTTACAAAAATTTACTTGTGGCACGTTACAATTTGAAATTTTTTTTTATAGTTTTTTGGCACGCACACTAAAAAAGGTTCGCCATCCCTGTTCTAGAATGTTTCAAAAGAAAACTGCTAGGCAGACTTTAACGGAGGTGGTTACTAAATATTTTTTAAACAAATGTATTTAAAATATATAGTATGGTCTTAAAGGTTGTAACTGCAAAAAGCTCACGATTTTATAACTGATGTTATTTTTCTGGGGATAAAAAAATAAGAAACATGTGGCAAGAAGTGAGGTGGCGCAGTTTTGGCAGTTCGCCAATGGCACAGGATCACCACAGTACAGCCCTGTTGTCTTTGTGTAATATTATTTTTATTAACTTGTATTAAAAAGTAGCACACAACAAACGTTTCGATTGTCCACAAAACTCATGTTTTCAATTTTTCTTGAAAATAGCGTATGCGCCGGGGTTAATTTATTAAAAAAACTCAAACATAAGAAAAATTTACCAAATTATCTTTGGAATCAATTATTGATAACAATTTATAAGAGAAAGGTTAAAAAATACAAAAAACGCTTTAAAAAAAGTAAAAAAGTTATGCGATGGCCGGGAATCGAACCCGGATCAACTGCTTGGAAGGCAACTATGCTGACCATTACACCACCATCGCACTATGCAAAAATTTGCGGCTATACACGAGAGGTACAGTTGAAGATTTAAGCACTATGGCCCGGGGCTAATAGGCATTAAAGTTTTGTCTACAGCTGTACCGCGCGTGTATAGTTGCAGATTTTTGTATAGTGCGATAGTGGTGTAATGGTCAGCATAGTTGCCTTCCAAGCAGTTGATCCGGGTTCGATTCCCGGCCATCGCATATTTTTTTTTAAACTTCCTATCATTTATTTTCGGAAACTTGTTTAGTAGAGACGGTCTTTTTTCGTTTTGATAAAAAAGACACACGAAAACCCTGGGACACGTAACTTAATTTTTGGTAGTAGAATTTAGTCGTGTATTCCTTTTTTTCTATAGGTAAACTCATTTCACATTTAAGTTTGGATATTTTTTGGTTCACTTTTTTGCTATATTTTGCTAAATTTTGAAGGAAAATGTCTTTATTTATTTTTGGCCATCGCGTATTTTTTTAAACTTTCTCTTATTCATTTCCGAAAACAGGTTTGGTAGAAAAAAAAAGTTATGCGATGGCCGGGAATCGAACCCGGATCAACTGCTTGGAAGGCAACTATGCTGACCATTACACCACCATCGCACTATGCAAAAATTTGCGGCTATACACGAGAGGTACAGTTGAAGATTTAAGCACTATGGCCCGGGGCTAATAGGCATTAAAGTTTTGTCTACAGCTGTACCGCGCGTGTATAGTTGCAGATTTTTGTATAGTGCGATGGTGGTGTAATGGTCAGCATAGTTGCCTTCCAAGCAGTTGATCCGGGTTCGATTCCCGGCCATCGCATATTTTTTTTTAAACTTCCTATCATTTATTTTCGGAAACTTGTTTAGTAGAGACGGTCTTTTTTCGTTTTGATAAAAAAGACACACGAAAACCCTGGGACACGTAACTTAATTTTTGGTAGTAGAATTTAGTCGTGTATTCCTTTTTTTCTATAGGTAAACTCATTTCACATTTAAGTTTGGATATTTTTTGGTTCACTTTTTTGCTATATTTTGCTAAATTTTGAAGGAAAATGTCTTTATTTATTTTTGGCCATCGCGTATTTTTTTAAACTTTCTCTTATTCATTTCCGAAAACAGGTTTGGTAGAAAAAAAAAGTTATGCGATGGCCGGGAATCGAACCCGGATCAACTGCTTGGAAGGCAACTATGCTGACCATTACACCACCATCGCACTATGCAAAAATTTGCGGCTATACACGAGAGGTACAGTTGTAGATTCAAGCACTGTGGCCCGAGGCTAATAGGTATTAAAGTTTTGTCTACAGCTGTACCGCGCGTGTATACTTGCAAATTTTTGTATAGTGCGATGGTGGTGTAATGGTCAGCATAGTTGCCTTCCAAGCAGTTGATCCGGGTTCGATTCCCGGCCATCGCATATTTTTTTTTTAAGTCAGTGATTCTTAGACATTAAAAATTATTTGAATTTGCTATTGCTTACCTGGTTCTCCTGGACATATGAACCTCTCTCTTGGAACAGGTGCAATTTCACTACTTCCAGCACAAGCAGAAGCATGAGGGAGACTACCGGGCCATACGCACACTTCGACTCGTTCGTCAAAAGCCAAACCTATAAAGCAATTTAAAAATTTAGTAAATTGTTAAATTCGTTATTAATTTTCAATTATTTGTGTTTACACTGTGTTATACAATTGTTTTTATATTCTCACAAGTAACCAGTGGCGAATTCATGGGGGACATATAAAATAAACTATGTGAAGGCAATATTTAACAACGTTTTTTCTCTCAATTGTAATAATACATATTGTAATTGTAATAATACATAAACATTTTGAAACTTCTAACTCCAAAAGAATTTTTCAAATTCTTGAAAATAGTTTTCCTGGTATTTACAGTGGGTAAAACGTCGGAATTTAAAAATGGTATAACAAAGTGTTGGACTGCAGATTTACAAAAATTTTAAAAATAAATATTAATTTATTTTATTATTAACCTGCAGGGCAATCGAATTCGAAGACACTAAACTCGTCGGATAGCTGATCGAATTTTACGCAACGGTAGAATCTGTTACATGAACGAGGGTGGACGAAATATCCTTGACGTGAGCATTCGAATTCTGTACGAGTGTCCTGAAATAAAAAATAATAATATTAGCACAATATGTTATTTATATTATAATATTATAAAAAAAAATTAAAAATTATCCCTCAAAAAATCAAAATTATTTCAAAATAGTATAAAATTTATAAATAACTAGTTAATAATTAAAAACCTAAAAACGTCAAAGGAATAAAATACCTATGATTATAGACAATATTTAACCAGTATAAAATCACCGCTACTGATCCAACTAAATTAAAATTTGTAGAGACTCAAGATGTATAAAATATTGTTCAAATTGATGTTTTGAAAATATATTAATAGTATATTATGTATCAAGTTTGATAAACGCCATTTTATACACGAATTTAATTTAGGCACGAGCGAGCTTGCGAGCGAGTGCTTAATGAGTGTATAGAAAAATTTATAAACGAGGTGCATACTATACTTTTTCTATGACAAATACTTATTATCTTAAAATGATTTAAATCAAAATTTTGTATAGAGCGTATCTATGAAACAACAGGGGAAACTGTCAAATGTCACATTTTTACATTTTATAAACACAATTATAAAGGTTATAAATCGAAATGAATCTTGAAAATGGACAGTTTTTCACAGTGAAAGTAAAGGAAATGTTTTATGAGGACTTTAAAGTAGAGTCCGTGCACGAATTTAAGTTATAGTCAGAGGCGGATTAAATGTCGAGAGCGCCCTAGGCAAGAACCTCATCGGCGCCCCTCTAGCGGCCATATATTATAAATTTTTACTAGGACTTACATAATAATTAGCTATGCACTGCGGTTTCACCCGCATGATGCCCCATACCGTGGAAATTTCGGTCTCCAGCTCTCTACATACCAAGTTTTATCACAATCGGTTTAGTAGTTTTTGCCCGAAGAAGTAACACACACTTTCGCAGTTATAATATTATTGGGGTAAGTACACGTGTCCTGGCTTATACTTATAATTAGGTATAGGCCAAGACACGTGTACTTACCCTTAGGCGTAAATGAAATATGTGATATACATTTCTATAGAATAAACTTATCTTTTACATGTTAACTTTAAGTTTATGTAAGAGTACCAATACAGACGGACAGTCGAGTAAATGTGCTGTCGAATTCGATCGCTCTTAAGTGTACCTAATAATAAGTTTTAAGGAAACATAAAAATGGCTCATATACAGTGTAGTTTAAGGAAAATAATGGGCGAAGTTAGTGCAAAGATTTACTACTTGGACAACGAAAATCAGTGTACCTGTTGTCCAAAGTCTTAATAGAAACATTAAATTAGTGCATTATAAAGCAACCCCAACAAGTAAATATAGTGAATAAAGACCATACGGACACGAAAGTAATTAAGTGATAAATGACAGCATACCTGAAGATCTAACCCTAGGCCAATATGAATCACCTTTTTAGGGAACAAACTAGCCTAGTGGAAGGGGCCATCATCTGCAAAAATCTGTACCAATTAATCGCATGACCTAATACGTAAATTCGCAACAAAAACCTAACAATAATCAATCATTATTACTGATAACAGCGTAATAGTGTAAATTATTCAATCATTAGGTAAGAACGGCACAAAACATAAATAAGCCCCAACAAAATTAAAATGTTTAAAACTTAACGAACCAGTTCCGATATTTGCCTAACATAAACCACTAAACACCTCTAAATTTTAGGCATTGCATGCTGCTAGCTGTATAAGAGAATTAAAAAAGCAAAGTTAAGAGCAATTATATAAAATAAATAATATAAATGCAACTTCTAATTGTTAAAAAAAAAAGAAAACGTAAATACAATTTCTATCACAAAATAAAGATAAATATCTATCGATAGTTCTCGACCCCTACAATTAGGAAACGTTTTCGCACAGTGGGGCAAACAATTGCTCACAATAGTTTCCGAATTTCAGCAGACTACAAGACCAGAAAAGATAGGTCCTAGCAGCGTACTAACCAACCAAACCTCAATCCCTGGTTGAGGGGGATTCCGAATTGTACTTAGTTTTGCCTCCTTGTCCCGTACTCCACTAGCCTAAATCGGGCGTATGGCCCGGCGCGGCGAAAAAATTCCGGGAGTGGCCTTAACCATCCACACTGTCATCCACGACCTCCTAGGGGAGATTTACCAACCGGGGTGAAAATGCGGATCCACCAAACACAGGTGATGCTGTTCAGTGGCGGGATAAGTAGGAGAACTGAAAGGGGGTGAAATAACCCTGGGAGATCAGTGCAAGGCGTGCCGATGGGGCCTGCCATACGTTCCTTATATATAATTTTATGTTAATTATTTTCTTCGTTTCAAAACTCACTTGCGCGTGCTGATTAAATAATCAAACCAATAAGTTGTAAATCTTTCTTCAATAAATACCTACTCGGTGTTCATAAAAACTTCGCGCCCCCTTGTAACCTCGCGCCCCTAGGCACGTGCCTAGTTTGCCTTAGGGATAATCCGCCTCTGCTTATAGTACTGCCGGCGAAATTAAAAGGTCAGTACAATGTTCATATAAACTTTTCAAATATTGGCGTTGAGAAACTATTTAATATTTTTGTATTTTTGTATTGAGATAATAAAATACTTTTCACATTTAGTATTATTTTACAAGAACGGCACTTTATTTTAACGATTGTGTGACATTTGACAACTGTCAACTAACTTAAAACTAACTTCAGCCCGTGACTAAAAACCTGTTGGTAACTTTAGCCCGTGACTAAAGCGCCGTAAAGCCACAACTTGTCAATGTGTATTTAAAAGGTCACTTAGTGTCATGGAAACATGTACGATAATGGGCGTTTTAAAGGTGGGAGTAGAAAAAATGATTTATTTTTTATCTTATTTTGACAAGACTTTAATTATTTAAACCCTAAAATCGCCGACACTGGGCCAATTGAATTATAATTATAATTTATTACAGAATCAAGATTATTACCACAAACATATGGTCTTAAAGAAGATTATACAAGCAGAGGGAGAAATCTTTTAAAGATTTCATTGGAACTCACTAAGGCCCGATTGATGAAAGAAATTGAATTATGTGTTAATATGGGTAAACGTGGGTACAATCTACAATGTGCCTACGAATTCTAAAAAAAACATTCCCCAATTAGTGTGAAGTCCGAAAGATGTTGTATGTTCGTTTATTTTTAAATATATTTTGTTTAACTGTGAGATGTTTGTTAGTTTGTTTGTTTGTATATTTTAAATTCGTTTTAAATAAAATTTATATTTTTTGTCCCATTTTTTGGGTTTTCAAGGTTGACTCTAAGGATATTTTCGACAATCTCTTAAACATTGTTTTTCCAAAAATGGGTCCTAAAAACCTTCTGGAAGTGAAGACCATAAAGAACTACCATTAACGATGGGAAACTGACTAATAAATAAAGAACAAAAAAAAACAAATTTTGTTGAAGTAAATAAAAATAATTCTAGAATGTTTCAAAAGAAAACTGCCATAGCCAGACTTTAACGGAGGTGGTTACTAAATATTTTTTAAACAAATGTATTTAAATTATGTGGTATGGTCTTACAACTTCTCGATTGTCCACAAAACTAATCTGCTTTAAATTTTTCTTGAAAATGGCGAATGCGCCGGGCTTATTTTATTTAAAAACATAAGAAAAATTTATCAAAATATCTATGGAATCAATTATTGATAATAATTTATAAAAGAAAGATTTAAAAATCCAAAAAATCGCTTTAAAAAAAGTAAAAAAAAGTTATGCGATGGCCGGGAATCGAACCCGGATCAACTGCTTGGAAGGCAACTATGCTGACCATTACACCACCATCGCACTATACAAAATATAAGAATTTAAGTGATCACAAGCTAAACTGTCAACTTTAATATTTTTACTTTGAAATTTGCTTTTATTTCTATTAAAATTCAATAATATTGTTTTGAAATAAAATTTGCTCCATACATTTAATTATTTCTTCTTATCAATATACAGCAAATGGAATTTAATTTCGTCTTATGCCTAATATTAGGCAACCCAGATATCAGCAACTACATAACTAGACATCTGCTTCTTAGCGATGCTGTAATAACCGTGTTACGTAATGGTCCAATAAGAGAAAGTAAATCTGTGTCGTTTAACACATTTCTTCCGTAGACGGAAATTTATTTACCATGTGCGATGGTGGTGTAATGGTCAGCATAGTTGCCTTCCAAGCAGTTGATCCGGGTTCGATTCCCGGCCATCGCATGAAAATTACATTTTAAGGAAAATATCAAGGATAATAAAATGGTTTCAGTGAAGGTATTACTTTGGTAAAAAATATTGGGGTCATAGATAAGGGATTGGTTGGGTGGGCGGGGGGTTATAATTGTAAATAAAGTTTGTTTTTTTTTATTCAAATTTGACAACGTCAAAAGTTTGGGGTTTAGTTGATAAATTATTTATAATTGGCTACATTTAGTAAAACAAAATTATTCAGTGGATTTATGCCGTAAAACTTGCTGTTTGTTTTTAAGAATAATTTTTTAAAGAATTTTCTGTTGTTTATTATAATTTTAACAATTAAATAATAATTGCAAAGTAAAATTAGGACATCAAAAATGAGCACCATTGTTTAAATCATGGAGCCTACACAAGGAGCCCGAACTTAATAGGGAAAATTGTCAAAACCTGCCCTCTAAATTGCTCAAATTAAGTATTTTTTTTTCACCACCAGCGGCGCTGATTGTCGATGCGTACTGACGTCTGCTCTTTTGGTAGCGTTTCGGTACAAATTAGTCAATTGTTTCAGAACAAACGGAACACCAGCGCCCTCTTATCTTAGGAAGATTCTTGTTTACATAAATTTCGTACTCCTTGTGTAGGCTCTATGGTTAAAATATTAAAAATACCAAAGTTTATTAATATAAAGTACCTACCAAAATAATCAAATGTGTCAAATTCCGAATAATAAAACAAACTGCTCAAGTAACATTTTTAGTTTTATTATGGTCTTCAAAGTTTTATTGTAGTCTTCAAGAACGCTTTAAAACAAAATTTTGTTTTAAAGCGTTCTTGGGGGGTGTAATTGAAGTGATAGGTAATCATAGGCGTCGCCAAAGAGGGCCAGAAGCCCCGCTACAGACTATAAAATATATAATCAAATACCAGGTGACTTATTGTCCGATTTATAATTTCTAGCAGTTACAGTACAAGAGTATTTACTTTCCACACTGTAGAGCGTGCCGAAAAGTGAAAGTTTCCTCACGGTTATGAGGGCGGAGAGTACAAATTTTCGCGAGCTTGTAAAAAAATCTTTAAAGCCCTATTTACCAGTGGCGGCTGGTGGATTTTGGGCACACCCATATCTCAGTTATTACACCGAAAAAAATATATTCGTTGAGTTAACATTTGCCTAAATGTCATTTTTGAAAATGTTGTTTCAACAAAAAATTGGATTAATCTATATTTTGGTGTCAAAGCAATAGTCAGAGTTTGTCAAAGTTTATTTGTTCATTTGACAATTTAAAATATTGATCTTACATGAACTAATTGTTTGAATTAAAGTTTTTATCCTATTTTGATTTAATAGCTGGAATTGGTTAAATCAAATACTAAAATTGTTGGGATTACCTAAAAAAACTATTAGATTAACGTTTAGTTGCTGTTTAATCCACAACATTAAATTTGTTCATTTAACAAATTGTAAATGTTATTTTAAAATTTAAAATGTTAAATTTGCATTCATAAAGTTGCCTTAACACTCTAAGAATGTTAAATTAACAAAATTAGCAGATTGGAACAAATATCCTAATTTTGTTCATTTGACTGTTATTTGTTGTTCAATTAAACAATACAATTTGACATTTTTAGATGGTTAAGTAAACGTGCAAAAACCATTGCTTGTATTTAAAGTGCATAAAGAGTTGAATTAATATTTTTTTTGTTGTTTCAACAGCTTATTTTTTTCAGTGTAGACATGGGACCCACATCAAATTTATATGAGTTTAAAATGACATTATATAGACAAGTTCTGCGCAAGCAGATTTTAAATTGAAGTTCGCGAAAGAAAGGTTAGTTTTTAAGTGCTCCCCCATCCTCCTGCCCCCCCCAAATTCAGATAATTCAAATTAAAGTGGTACAATATTTATTCACTAAAGTTTATCGACAAATTTAAGATTTTATTAAAAAAATTCAAGAATGGGGGAGCACTTAAAAACTAACCTTTCTTTCGCAAACTTCAATTTAAAATCTGCTTGCGCAGAACTTGTCATTTTAAACTGATATAAATTTGATGAGGGTCCCATGTCTAATAACTGAGATATGGTTGTGTCCAAAATCCACCAGCCGCCACTGATATTTACTGTTGTGCGTGCGAAGATTATTTTTCGTAAAAAAAGTGTGAACCAATACTTCCATTAACTCTCTTAATGTATTATAATATTTTTATGGATTCATATTAGCAGTTATAACTTCTTAAAATATGTTTATCTGATAATATTAAAATATTTTCTGGGCTAGTTAACTAAAAATATAATATTTAAAATCATTTTACCTGTCTGATGACATGGACGCTTCCTTCTGTATCTATAACTCTTGAAATCCTATAGGGAGAAACCTGGATGCTATCCAATGGTCTTGCTGAAGAAGCTAGCATTTCCCGTTCCAAAGAATGTAATACAGCACCTCTTGGTGCTCTAGCTTGTCTGGAAAGTCCGTTGGAAGCTGCCTCCAAGATGGTAGATTCACATTTTAATCCACCGTCTTGGGAAAGATCCTTCAAAGCTATACCAGCTAAACCTCTTACTCTGGAATATTTTGCTTTGATGTCCATACTGGTCGAATCTTCGAATGCTATCCATTGGTCCTCGCTAAGAAAAGTATAAATTTATCAGATATCTATTTAAAATTTATGGATTAAAATAAGAAACATTAATTTAAATAACAAGCAAGTGGGTATATTTTATTCATCTGCAAATTTATATGTTTTAACATTGCGCAATGTAAACCATTTACGACAGGTGTTAACATAATAACATTTGGTCTAATTTGCATGAACTCATTGTAAATTTTAACAATAGGTAACAATAAATCAAATTGTTAAGTATTGTAATACTTAGTTACATATTTAATAAGGAAATTTTCAATGTCACGGTAATACTATAGTAAAAGTGAAACGATTTTTTGGTTCAATAGGCACCACGGGCAAGTCTATATTAAGAAAATGACAGGACATTAATAAAATACAAATTTATGATAAATACTTTTATAGATCGCCCTGAGCAAAAATTGTTTTCAGCGCCTCTTTGGACTGAAGCTTAGTTTTAATTTTTTTATTCTAAAATATGTACATACCCTACATTTTTACATGTTTTTTTAAATACATTTTGGCAGATTTTTGCAAATTTTAAACTTTGTTGTACAATATTTTACAATTTATTAGTTAATTTTTAAATAACTTTTATTTGGGTTTTGAATTGTAAAAAAAAATGTAATTTTATTAATTTTTTTTTCTAATGATTTTAAACTTATTTTCATTTTTTTTAACCATTTTACTTTTACTAGGTATATTCTTGAACGAACAAATTATTTCCAGTTAGGTACCTTAATGTACATAATAAAATAGTACTACACAATAATAAATAATATTTTTATCATTAATCAAGCGTTGTAAGAAACATTATTGGGTTTGTTTGTTTGTGGAATTTTTGCAATTTCATGTATTGGAAAAAATCATTAATAACTGTAATTATAAATATTTTTTTTGTATTTTGGCAACCCTCGGGTGTCACAAATGCTTTATTGTTATTATTTGGTAAGAAAATACAAAGATGTTTTCAGTAATTATAACAATTTTATACATTTTATAAATTTTGTAAACATTTTGTAAATTTGTAAATTTTTTAATATAAATATTAAAATAATTTTTGGCAGATTTTTTATTTTTTTTTTATATTTAAAAATATTCTCGTTAATTTTTTTTATTTCCACCTTCTTAGTAAATGACATTTTATAGGTTAATTTTGTGGTTTTTGTAACCAAGTAAACGATACATTATGGGAACAGACCTGTAATATTTTACGGGCTTGTTTAAAAGACCTGTAAAGTTTTACAGGCTTGTAGAAAAGCAATTTATGAAATGAAATGTCACATTTGACATATTAATTAAAACTTTAAATTTGAAAATCGTTATCTAAAGGTGAAAATAAAAGTTTGTACGTGTCACGCTAGGCAATTAATCTTTACTAGGCTCACTGGATTATGGGGTTTGCTCCTGCGTCGCTCACCCCACAAACTTCCAGCTCGCCCGTAAAGATTCATTTACAAAGCTTGACACGTAAATAATTATTATAATCTTTATTAATAGCGTTATCGCAAAAGTTTTCATTGATTGATTAAAATAAAATCAATTTAAGTAAAAAAAATTATAAAATTATATACTTGTGCTTCTTCTTTTACAATTTCTTGGGTTTATTTCAAACAGGAGTAAAAATTGTACAAACAAGGATATTCCTAGAAGATTAATTACAACATTGTATATCGTAATAAAATATATACATTTACATCTTCACACGCCCAAAAAGCTTACAGGCAGGCCCGGCTCCAGACATTGCGGTACCCCGTGCAAAAAATTTTTGCCGCCCCTCATAGTTACCTACTTTTTAGTGCCCATTAATAAGGTATAATTTCTAAAAAAAAACTATATATAGTTTTTTTTTAGAAATTATTATGTATAGTACTATAGTACCATAACTAACTGCTACAATTAGATACACTGTTCAAAATTTAAAATTAAATTTAAAATTAACACCAAATTAACACCATACATGGTCTATATCGATACAAACCAAAATGGTGTTAAATATGGTTCGGTGTAATTTCAAATACTAAAATAGTGTAAATTGAACTCCTTTTCAGTGTTAAATATTATGTGTTCTTGGTCAAATTAAATCATACTAGGTGTAAAGTGTACTTCTCAGTACTTCGAAAGGATAAAATATTTTTAGATAAACAACGTTTTGGTGTTTGCTGTATATAACATTTTTAAACATAATTCATGGGGTTTATATTAACACCACTTGGTGTTGGATTTTGACACCATTTTTAGATTACCCTTTACACCACAGCTATTTTAAACAGTGTAATATCGTCCCCTTGATGCTACAATTAGATATCTGGAAAAACACATTTATAAATAAAAATATTCTAAAATTGGTACCTATGTAAGTATTTAGTTAATGTGACCAACTCTCCTGAAAGAAAAACCAGAACTCTAATAAAAAATCTGTATTTTTTTATAAAATGTTTACATGTATTTATATTAACATAATATTATTACAAATTAAAGATGCATTTTCCTCTTTACATAGGCATATTTAGAGTTTGAAATATTAAAAACAATAGATATTACAATATTTAACTACAATAAAACGCGCAGACGTCAGGGACATGCGCAATACTAAAATAGTTCCGAACTATTAGCATAGAAAAAGGATATTAGTTCGTTTGGGGAGAGCATAGAAATAATAATACTTTCTATGGGGGAGAGCCAAGTGCGAACGCCAACGCGATGTATTTAGTGGGAGTAGGGCGAGCAGGGTTGCACGATTGGGCGAAAAATCTGGCAAAGTGGAAAATATAATTTTATGTTTATGGCTTAATTAGTATTGTAGGTATATGTAGGTATGAAAACAGAAAAAAACAGAAAAGCTTTTGAAAAACAGAACTTTTACTTTACTTAATTTACAACCAGAACATGGTTCTCAAAAACAGTATAGTTCTGGTTAAATCAGAACGGTTGGTCACCTTAATTTAGTAGAACTGGATTCGTAAATTTTCTAGGTGTCCAGTTGTAGCATTATTTATGAGAATTATTTATTTGTTAATTATTATTTTTTATTAAAAGGATGCATGATGTGATATATTAATTTTTTATAAAATGTGAATAAATACCTACCTTAAAACACACACAAAAAGCCCAGCACAATGTAAATACCACAACCACAGGGAACAAAATGTCCTCGAAAATGTCTATTTTTTCAAATTATTAAATTTCGAATAGGTAGTGTACAATTGCACAAAGAAGTTCAATATCAACTAAAATAATTTATAAGTTTGCCTAAAAACAAAGCAAAATCCTGATAAATCAAAAAAACCGCACATTGCGGCGCGTGCCATTGATCCTTTGTCGGCTCTATTATAAAGAAAGCCGCTTTTTTATTTAAAAATGGGAAATAATAGTACGATAACTTTTTGCCGCCTTTCGATTTTTGACGCCGTTCGAATTTTGCCGCTATTCGATTTGTGCACCTCTTTAATTTTTGCCGCCCTTCGATTTTTGCCGCCCCGTGCAGGGGCACGGCTGCACGTACCCTGGAGCCGGCCCTGCTTACAGGCAAAAAACGAAAAACAAAATATTGATATAATCAAGTTTACCTACTCTTATATTGGTCACAAGGCAAACTGGATCAACCTATAGGTAATTGCTTTTTAAATGTGTAAAACCATCCACGTAATTACGTAGCTGCACTCATAAATTTTACGTGATGCTGTATGAAGAAAACCAGAAAATTGTAGGTTTTACGATAATAAATTTAATTGAGCTGAAAATATGTGACGATAAAATTGATAATTAGTGTAAAATATTATTTCGTAGAATTTAAAATAGGAATTCTTCGGTGTTACAACACTATGTAAACCTATCCTAGATTTTAAATATTACCTTAATAAAATAAGAAAATGGTTTGATTTAGGTGCTGTTTTTATACCTGCAATTATATATTTATCACACCCAAAAGAAACTAAATTAAATATCTGCAGGCTATAAATTGATACCTGCTAAATATTTTACATTTGCAACAATTTTTTCTATCGATGAAAGTAGAGTTTAGAAAAGTTGTTTTAATTGTTTTTAACGTATGTATTTCATTAATTTAGGAAATGGTAAAAAAACTTTCTATTTTTACAAAAAACAAAATAAAAAAATTACCTAATCATATAAAATAATGAAATTAAATATATAAGGAAGCAAACATGTTTAAAAAATAGGTTTAGAGAGCATTTTAATATAACTCGAATATAACGTACCTACTCATGTTTACTTATAATTTATACATAAGTTATTTTTACAATAACAAAACGGTAACGGTTACCAAATTTGGGGAATGGTTTAATCGTTATTTTAAAATTTACTGCATAATTAATATCCAAGTAACCAAAAAATAACCTAATAAAAACAAATTAAATACCAAATATGTAGGTATGTAAAAATAACGTCATCTCTTTCTAAACCTTTTACATTTTTATTTGTAATAATTTAATTAATTTATTTGTATTTTTGGGAAGAAACAATGCAAATAATGGGATCAAAAGTTAGCCATCATAGAGCGTTCTACAATTATTTGAGAATATTCTTGCATATTTTTTTATTATCAAATAATAATTTATCAAGTTTGTATTTATCTAACATTCAGTCTTTTTTTAAACAAATTTAATATTTTTTTACTCCCATTGCATAACATTAATATTGACAATATTTGGGTATTTTTCTTATCCTAGCCTAGCAACGGGAATAATGAACCCATTATTCACGTTGTTAGGCTTTAGTGATTGGCCTATTTCATTATTTACTGTGATTTAAACCAATCGGATTTAAATTGAAAAAAAGTGAGGTCGGAACTATTAGATTAGATTATTTGATATATTAATACAAGTGGCGACTATAATGGTCTTTACAATCGGGAGAAAGTGAGGTTATAATAAATTTTTGTTATTAATGAAAATTACTTTATTGGATAAGAAAGATCAAAGTATTACCCCAGAATGCATGCATTTCTTAAAACACATTTTAGTCAAAATCTATGATAGAGTTATAATTTTATTAAAATGATTATCTATTTTATTTTGATCCAAGCATGGTTTTAAAACTTTCTATCGATAAATAAATGAACGTTATGAAATAAATTTTAATTTATAACATTCACTAAAACATTATTAATAATAAATTATCCGGACCTACTGATTTTTAAATCTAGTTCAAATTACGAAATATCTGAAAATGAATTTATACAATGTTTCAAGTAGAGTTAGACACTTTTCCATGACACACCTGCAAAATGGTCGTATTTGTTGTTATTTGTTTGCCTGGCTTCAAAATTATGACGACTAGTTCTCGATATTTAGATCAATTACGTATTTATATTCGTATGAATATTACCGATTTTTTACCTCACCAACTTCGTTGCGAAATTGTTTGATTCATCGAATCGAAAGTATCATATGAAGTTAATTAGTAATCTTAAAGCTCATTAAAGAATTAAGTTAAGGTAAACTGTGTTTATTTTTAATGAAGAAACGTGTTTCAAAATGACATAATTTAAAAAATAAAAACACCTGGAGCATTTTTCAAAAACTGATGTGACAACTTGAGACAGTTTTAAAGAAGGAATAATGATTGTCATATATATATGTATATATGTATACAGGGTGGTCAGACGATAGTTGTTATATTATTAAATTCTCTATTAAATAAAAAATCAAAAACTTAAAAAACCTAAAAATTATTTAGAAATATTGGTGGCGTACGTTATATTTTTATAAAACCCGTACACCCGCCGCTATGAGTATTATTTGGTATAGCTGTCCCATCAGCGTCATCATACACTGGTCTCAAGGAGTTTTTTCACCCCCTTTTGGTTCTCCTAACTATTCCAAAAGTTGCAACTGCACACCATTAACTGTGTTTGATGGATATGAAGTTTAACCCCGGCTGGTATTATAATTTAGTCGCCGGGCCGGGCTATACTCCCGATTAGGCTAGAGGAGTTTGAGACAAAGAGGAAAAAGATTTTGGTTTTCAGGGGACGATGGACTGACCCAAAACTAAGTATAATCCAAAATCCCCCCTAGATTTGGTAACACCAACATTCCATTGGGGTTTATGAATGGTTTTATACTCTGTAAGGGCCTTCTTGGTACTTCTTTTTCGTTGTTTGCCCCACTGGCTTCAAAGAAGACTCCCCACTGTACGTTTCTCTGAGATTTATATATTTCTCATGGAGGTGATCAATTTAGTTGGGAGCTTGATTAATGGCCTTTTTAAATAGGTTATTAAGTGATATTTTGTAGTGATGCCGTCGAGAGGAGAGATTCACGCCTCTCGTCTCGTCTCGATGAGACGAGAGGGCGATTTTCTCTCGAAAAAATGCTCGAGACGAGACAAGAGAATGCCTTCTCTCGCTCGAGAATTTCTCTCGTTCTCTCGATTATTTAAATTTTTTGCGATTTTCTCAAAATATTAAATCGATTTTAAGATTTCCGACCTGCAAATTTCAAATCTTGCCAATTCGGAGATCGTCAAAACGTTTTTCTGGCCAAATTTAATGGACCAATGAGAACATTATTCGCATTTCATAATAAAAAAAATTTGTTTCTGGTTAATGTTGTGTTATTTTATAACATAACTTACGTTAACCAAGAAATAATAATAATTATAAATTTTGAAAGTTTATAAGCACATCTATGGCACTCCGTATACTAAAAACCCGTAAGCTTATTCAATAAACTTATCAACAACATGTGGTTTTTGAGGGGCTGATTACCAATGTGATATCCATTTCTTCAAAAAATAAAATGGCTGATCCAATATGACGAAAATTTGTCGTTCGGCTTTAATGGTTTGGGTCAAATTTAGTATTTAGATATTTATAGGTCTCTGATTAAGAATTTGATATCCATTCAAAAAAACAAAATTGCGGATTCAAAATGACGGACATCAAATGGTCGACATTTTCGGCGTAAAAAGTGTTACTTTATCAGTGTGGTCTTTGCACACATTTTTCTTATTTCCAGTTCAAATTTCCATAGAAAAAAATATAAAAGAATTCGTATTTCATTCCAAATAATTTTTGTATTCATACATAGCTACTTTAACCACGAGGTAAACGAGACGAGACGAGAGAAAGGCACTCTCGAGCGAGAAAAGAGTATTTTCGACGAGACGAGACGAGAGAAGGACTTTTCTCGCCTCGTCTCGTCTCGCGGCATCACTAATATTTTGTTTAGATTATGAACGTTTCTAAGTTGCCTGGTTGCCTGTGCTTCCCTCGGTGATCTTTGGGAATGCTTATCGCTGACAGGTGGTAACAGGCTGTTAACAGCTTAGTACGGGGGTTTATGTCAGTTTTCCACTAATCCGTATCCGTATTAATTTCGGACAATGCTTACTGCACTTTTGGTTTGAACTGTGAGTCTTCGGTTATTCTTTATTTAATTGATTGTGTGAACTATAAACACGTCTGCACTGTACTAGAGTACAAGTGATACTTTATCATTTCCATTTTAATATGTTGGGTACAATTGTTCTTGGTAATAGGTATTAAGATATTAGTTTACAGAAGGCCCTATTAATGTTGCCCTTGAAATCTATTGACTATTATTATTGTTAATGAGACACTTGATACGTTTATTTACTTAAGCAAGAACTACACTTAGAAATATGATCTGTCTAGATGGTTTTCACATGCCGATATGTTTTAAATAAAATAATTACAAATTTTATTTAATAGGGAATATAAATACATGATGTATGAAAAATTTTAGAAAACTTAAATTATGCTATAGAACTTACCTAAATATATAAGGCCCAGCTTGATCCTGATCCCTTTCCAATGTCCAATTTTTACTATTTTTCATCAAGCTGCATAATTCGTTTCTATCAATAGACTTTACTTCCAAAGCTGGACTTCCAGGGGCTGTAAATTTTGGACTTTGCAGGGTGAATTGAAAAGCCTGAACTGGAACGGTTACTACCAATTTTGATAGAGGAGCTCCTAAGCCGCTGACCAAGTCTACAACGGAATCCTAAAAAAGAAAAAAGCCTATTTAAAAACAAAACATTTTCATTACATTAATTATCTCCTAATTTTAGTTAATTGTAGAAATGTATCAGTATAAAAAGTGTGTTTTCTAAAAATGTGCATCTGAGTTTTCCAGGGTGGTAAAGCTCTTTCAGGAATCTATATTGCAAGAGAAGACCCTTCAGAAGAAATGTGACCTTTTTAAACTTTTTAGTTTTTTTTATAAATTTGCCATTCTAGTATTTTCAATACAAATTAAAAATTAAAAAATAAAACGGGGATTTAATCGGTATAGCTGTGGTTATGATCCGAACTGGAATACAGTCATTTTTTCAGACAAACTCTCTAAAAATGAAATAGTCAAAATTTTACTATCTTTTACTAATAAAATAGTCGTTTTCACTTTTAAATAGTTATTTTTTACTACGTAAATAGTTAAAGTTTAAATTTAAGATTAGTCCCCATCTTTGACTATTTCTGAGAGGTAAAAGTAACTAATTTCTTTAATCGTTTGCGGCCAACAACAAAGTATTATTTGAATTAAATGCATGTACCTTAGCTACATGGTTAAATGACCCATAAAAACAAATAAAGATGCAAAAAGTTTAGCTCAAAACAGAAACACAAATAATATATTTAACTTCAGAAATATTATGAACAATATTTATTGACAAATAAAATTGATTTTTATAAGAGCGGCTGATGTCCGAATGGGTTATGACAACAGCTTGACAAGCTTGACCAGCAGACCTGAGTTCAATCCCCGGCTGGGTCAAAACTTTTTTTAAATTTAAATCTACTAATTTGACTATTTCATTCAGTAGAATTTGACTAATTATTAGTGACTGCTTTTTCGCTATGACAATTAGTCAAAAATGACTTTTGACTAATTCATTTTAAGAGAGCAATAATTCTATTTTAGCCCAGATCTATATATGCATGTAGTGGCAGGCAATTTATAAATATAGGTTCGAGAAAAACGCTCTTCGAATATCGAAAAATTATTGTACCCATATATTTTAGACATTAATTATAATTAATAGAGTTTCTTTATCTTTATAATGATTTAACCCGGATCTAGTAAAAAAAATTAGTTACTTACGAACGAGACTGGGTAGATACCATTTAAAGAAACCAGATTGCTTAAGATTCTTACTGCATCCAATGCGCATTGCAATAATTAATTTTGTGGGTGTTAACAAAAGGACATTGTATTAAACAATAACCTTCAAATAGCGTGTTTTTATAACTGGCTGCATATAAAAAGGAAGATTAAACAAAAACACATGAGGCCAAAAATGTAATTAAGTACGAACGCATTGTATTTATATTACTCAACAGGAGATTTTAATCGATTCTTTGAAGGAACTAATAAGTAGGTGTAAAGGCACAGTAAATCATACGAACATTCTATAGAAATTTAAGTCGGGTTCAGTTGAGATCTTTAGTATTTTATGAATATAAATAAGCGAGTAGATGTTGCATCAAGGTCGTTCATTGATTAAAAGGCTTTCCTTTTAGCGTAAGACAATTTTACTTTCGTTCTAAAATTGGGGGAAGTATTTTGAAAGGATACCCTTGAACATTTATTTACAGGATTTACCCTGATTCATGCAGTATTTTTGTGAATCACACATTGTTATTGCATGTAAACCATAATTATAGTATTTTTTATTAAGTACTCTTAAGACACCTAACAAACATACCGGTTAAGTGTAAAAACCATAGGGGAGACCTTTCGAAGAGGCCTCCTTAAAAGGAGATACCCAGTCACCAAGGTCTGTCTGACATATGGAATGTCGAAAAAATCGGCAATTAACCGTATTGTTAAGTAAATAATTTAAACCAGCCATAATTGATTTATATGCATACCAAATAAGAAACATTGATAGGGTAAGTCCGGGAGAGATGCCTCACATTTATACCGAGAGAACAAACAGTTAAAATAACTATGCTTATATGCAAAGACATTTTTGGGTAAAATTTAAAAATACCTATATATATATATTACATTGTAGACCGGGCGGACAAAACACATATTATACCCGAGCATATATTGTATGCGAGGCAATTAATAGGCTTTCGCCGCCAGGTTTTATAAACAATTTTTTTTAAGAATTTAATTCAATTATTTATGTCATTATTATTCTCATATCATGCTTCATTTTTGCACGGCGTTTTAAAATAATTTGACTTTTGAACTACTATTATTATGATGTCTTTCTATGTGACTTGAGTGTTATAATATAAAAATTATTATATGCTTGAAAACAAAATATTTACTCATACAAAACTTTTATTAAGTTATTCTTGTAAAATCTACATAAATCTGATTCTGGTGGCAAGTATGGTTGCCAGGTTTAAAAATTGATTTTACAGGACAAAAAAAATCTGGACAATAATACAATAAATATAATCAGGACTTAGATTGTTATAAGAATGTTAACAAAAGCTTCATGTAATTGTCTTAAGCCAGATTAGAAATTTAGCTTTAAATATCTAAAGTTAACATTCTAGAGATATGTCTATATATATATATATATATATATATATATATATATATATATATATACCGGGTGTATCTGAGAATAGGCGCACCCCTGTAACTTTTTTATTTATAAACATAGACACATGAAATTGTGCATGGTTAATTAGGATATAAAATGCCACTTATAAGAGTACAAAATGAATTTTTTGAACTTGAAATGATATCAACTTACGATTTTTAAATGGAACGCCCTATGTATTTTTACATATATAGAATCCTGAGTAAATTCTGAGTCTAACAGCATCCTAAAATTGACCTTTCGACGTTTCGTCATTAGAAAATGCATCATCATAAAGATCAATCTAGAGTGCTTTGAACTATTTAAGAAAAACGAATTTTGACAAGTTTAGACTGCTGGGAATAGCTGAATAACAACTTTCTAAGGCAAGTTCTTTTTTTCAGGCATTGTGTGGATCCATTAGAAGAAAATAAAATAGTTCAAAGCACTCTAGATTGATCTTTATGATGATACATTTTCTGATAACGAAACGTCAAAAGGTCCATTTGAGGATGCTGTCTGACTCAGAATTTCCTCAGGATTACAAATATGTAAAAATATATAGGGTATTCCATTTAAAAATCGAAAGTTGATATTATTTCCGGCTAAACCGGAAGTTCAAAAAATTTATTTTGTACTCTTATAAGTGGCATTTTATATCCTAATTAACCATGCAAAATTTCATGTGTCCATCTTTATAAATAAAAAAGTTAGAGGGGTGCGCCTATTCTCAGATACACTCGGTATATATAACTGTTTTAAGGATATCGACTTTAACTTGGATTCCCACTGTAAAGTTAGCTAGATATAAATGTCTTAAGAATGTTAACTTGGGTTGGATTTAATTGCATAAATATTATCAACTTAAGCTAGATATATCTAACTGTTTTGATTGTCAATTTAAGCTAGATATAGCTGTCCAAAAAATGTTAAAGATATTTACAGCTATTTTAAAGTCAACTTAAGCTAGATATTTGTACCTAGGTAGCTAAAACTTTAGACAGCTGACTAAAGAATGTCAATTTAGGCTAAATATAACTGTCTTCAAAATGTAACTGTCTACTCTCTAAAAATGAATTAGTCAAAAATAACTAATTTAATAGTTATTAGTGGCTGCTTTTCACTTGTACCATGGTTAACAATGGAAAATTTTAGTATCCCAAAATTTAACAGCCAATTCTTATGTAAAATTGTCCCGTAAATCCGAAAATACCGTCAAAAGTAGAAGTGAGATATAGGTAGTTAATTTTCCATTTAATATGGAATTGACTATATCTCAAAAACTGCTCCACTTTCATAATTTTTGACGGTATTTTCGGATTTAGGGGAAAATTTTACATAAGAATTGCCTGTTAAATTTTGGGATACCATGATATTTCATGGTTAACCATGGTACAAGTGAAAAAGCATCCACTAATAACTATTAAATTAGTCATTTTTGACTAATTCATTTTTAGAGAGTAAGAAATGAAACATAACTTTTATGTATACTATTTATTATCGCAATTCATAATCGTGCAGTTAAATCTTCCATAGTTAACTGCAAAATTATATTTCTACAAGAATTCTAATAATTTTTTAAAGTAAAAACTACAATAATATAAGAAAATAGAAAATGCAGATCAACTTTGTTAGATATCGATGGTGAGAAAAAATGTCGTCATGCTTTATAGTTCCAAACATTAAAAATATATTTTTAACCTTGCCATTGGTGCTATAAACCGTAACCATAACAAAATACATATGAATGGATACACATTATTGTGACAATAGTACAAATTTGTTCATTAGATATGCGCTATATGAGATCTTACTTTTGTTATGGGTAATAGAAAATTTGATTTTTTGGTATATTATGCTTTAATGTTATAATTATTATATAATTTGTAAAAGTTCCATTGTTTAATTGCTAAGGACATTTGCCTTTACTTTTATAAGTATTATCAAATACCAAAGAATGACACTTACAACTTTTTTCCAAAAGTAAAAGATACAAAAAATGGATACAATGCAATGGTTTAATTAAATTAAATATTTTCTTAAGTACTTGTACTTACTGTATTCTGCATATCCCATAATCCAGACAACCTACTAGGATGGAAAGTAACGTTTTTGTTGGCTCCCAAAAATCCCGTTTGTAAAATGAAGAGATCGGCATTTTTGCTCAAACTTTTAAAGTCGAAATACTTGGCTAAAGTTTCAGTTTTTGAGGGAACTGAAACTACCATGTACAAATCCGATCCCAATTTGCTTCTTACGGTCGATATAAAATCGTTTATGTCCTCTTTAGAATCCAATTTTTTCAGGCTGATTTCCAAACCGTCCACCTTCGTGGTTTTGAGCAAATCGACGAGACCCTGGAAAAAAATTATTGAAGAAATTTGGTTACGGCACAGAAATTAAAACATTTTTTAAGGCAGGTGTAAATCGCGATAGCTCGTACTTATCGAAAGATTTACGAAAAATTTAAAAACGCATTTAAAAAATTAAATTTTTTATTTTTAAAATGTATAAAATTAATAAGTATTCGGAGAAAAAAATTTTTATTTGTAATAAAAAAAATAAAAATTATTTCAATTAAAAATAATAATGAACGTGAAAAATATAAAAACGACTTTAACCTACTTTTTTATTTAATATATAGTTTATTATGCATAATAAGTCTTACTTAACTCAGTTAAACAGAAGAAAAAGAAAGAAAATGTATAATATAAAAGTTATTGAATTATTTCCGCAAAACAGCGCTTTTCGATCAGTGTGCGGCACTGACCGTACATTCGAATTTAATGCAATTTCTGACATTTCCATAATTCTTTTATAGAATAAATTTACCTTAAGTTTTATAAAACAGGTTTTTATACACTTAAGAAATTCGAGCGCAATGAAGAATTTTTCTCGTTTTGAGGATAACATTAAATGTTTATTATAAAAAATAAAAGTATTTAACCACATATAAAACAATATTGTTTAACAAAATAATATTAGGTTTAATATATCATAATTATTTCCATAAACTGGTTTGGTAGTGGGTACGCAGAAAAAAAAGTTATGCGATGGCCGGGAATCGAACCCGGATCAACTGCTTGGAAGGCAACTATGCTGACCATTACACCACCATCGCACTACGAAAAAATTTGCGGCTATACACGAGAGGTACAGTTGTAGATTCAAGCACTGTAGCCCGGGGCTAATAAGTATTAAACCTTTGTCTACAGCTGTACCGCGCGTGTATAGTTGCAGATTTTTGTATAGTGCGATGGTGGTGTAATGGTCAGCATAGTTGCCTTCCAAGCAGTTGATCCGGGTTCGATTCCCGGCCATCGCATAATTTTTTTTTTTAATTTTATTTATTAAAATAATTTTGTCTAATACCATTGTCAAAAAGTCGGCTTTTTTCATGACATTTAAGTGTCAAAAGTAGGACATTTTCGGCAGTGCAAAAAAGTATTTTTTTGCACTCCTATTTTTCCACTGCAATTAGATCAGCACACAATACTACCTAAATAAAATAATTTGTATTCAATAAAACATTTAACTTAATTGTTATTAATATTAATATTAACATTACCATTTATTTCTTGAGAGGTAAATAAATTTAAAAAGAGTTTGAGGTTTTATAACTTGCTTCAGGCTCGTTCCATTTATTTTTAAGCGGTTTATAAATTTAACTTGGCACTAAGTGGTTGATGATGGCTTAGGTACATACAAGTAAATTAAGCAACAATAATATAAAGCGACACCTTTTTGTACGTATGAGGAATTAGTATGACGACCCGTAGGCGAGTATTGCAATAGTTCAAAAAAGAGGCTTTATAAAAAATATGATCTAAAAAAATACTTTTTTGCATTGTTTAAAAATGACATACCTACTTTTAAAGCTTTGATGTGGACTAAAAGCTCTCTTTTTGAAAATGGTTTTATAAAAAACTGAAGCTAGTAATTAATTCGTTTTGTTATCTTGGTTTATTCTTTTTATTAAATGATATTTAAAGATTTTGGTATAAAAATTGTTTTTTTAATTTTTCACTCGTAAAGAAAGAGTACTTGGTGCACCCTAACCCTGTATTAGAAGAATGGATTTAGAAACATGAGATTTACAGACGACCTTTGTGCAAATACGCAAAAGAATGTGTGAACAAAAATTATCTCCAAATCAACCTTTGACGCCCCTGTATTTTTGGCGCCCCCCGCAATGCAGGCCTACAGAGCCGTTATTTACCCCACTGTTTTTTTATTACCTAAACATCACGTTAATGGGAAACATTTTTAATATAAACCTACAAAATAGATAGTCAAAATTGTTTAATAGTTCATAAAGAAGTAAGTCTAAGGTCTACAAATTGTAGACCTTTGCTACGCGTCGGCCTTCAAACTTTGAGCTCAGCACAAGACATAAATAAATATTATGAATAATGTTAACTATTTAGTCAATATTTTGTAGGTTTATAATATAAATTTCTCCTATTAACTTGATGTTTAGATAATAAAAAAATATATAGAAATTAATTGGAGCACTTTCGGACTATCATTTATCTAATGAACCGGCACACGCCCATAAAAACATGTCCAAAATATTAAGAATTACTTAAGAATGTATTTTCACTTTCAAAATGTATCTACATTAAAAGATTACCAAAATTGGTGATATTAATTTAATATAATTTAAATTGCAAACTGTGGCTATTTTCTGAAAATAACACTAGGCAACAAAAATATTTTTTTCCTATAATTAAGTAGTGGATTTTAAATTGACATAATTTGTAATAAGAACTTTTGTTTTTTAATATTTTTGGATAAACCTAGACGTCACGTGTAGTTTTTTTTAATTTATTTTGATTATTTAATTCAATTTTCATATTTTGATAAATTACAAACTTAAAACATTGTATAGCAAGAAAAAAACAAAACACAAAATGACGTAAAAAATTAATTCATAAATCATGTTTTTATTGACTTCATAAATCATGTTTTTATTGACTAAAATATGATTTGGGAAATATATATTTATAGATATAAGTATAATATACTTATATACATATATAAATATATACATATGTATATTCCCCAAATCATATTTTTTACGTAATTTTGTGGCGGCTGGTGGATTTTATGTATACCAATATCTCAGTTATTAGACATGGGACCCACATAATGGTTTATAATGACAATAAATAAACAAGTTCGGCGCAAACAGAATTTAAATTGAAGTTTGCGAAAAAAAAGTTAGTTTTTCCTGTTGCCTCACCCGCCTCCAGGCCCCCCTATTTGAGATAATTCAAATTAAAGTGGTGTAATTTATTATCTACTGTAATTTATCGACAAATTTAAAATTTTATTTGAAAAATCCAAATATTACAGATTTTATTCAATTTTTAATTTTTATTATTTATTTTATTAAAATAAAAAAAATATTTAAAATGGTATAAATCCTGTAATATTTTGATTTTTTAAATAAAATTTTTAATTTTTCGATAAATTATTTATCTAATAATAATTAAACGTTTAATACTAAAAATCAAAATACATTTTAAAATTTAAGAGGACATAATTAACAAAAAATATGGAAAACAAACTACAAACTAAAGAAAAACGTTAGTTTTTAATAACAAAAAAATCAAAAACAGTTACTAAAAAATAAAGAAAATGTTTCATAATTAACTTTGTGTTTTTAATAATAAAATAATACCAAATTTTAAAATTATGGTAAATATTAAAATATGTATTATTATAAATCAATGTTTGGAACAACAAATCTTAAAATATTAATTTTTGTGATTTTTTTTCCATTAAAAAATACTAAAATCACTTTTAATTTTCTTAAGAAAATAAAAAAAATAAAAAGTAGAAGTAAATCATATAAAAATATAATGTGCTTGGTATGAATTAACATAATATTTAAATAATTTTTATTTTTAAATTGGATTTGAAACTAATATTATAAAAAATTATAAACTTAGTATTTTTGCAGGTCCACAAAACAAAAAGAGCACCTAATAAGAATTTGAAATAAAAACAAAAACATTTTTGTCCTTAAAATCACAGTTTTTGTCGATATATTTACCTGATTAAATTCATTAACACTAATTAACACTTTGACACCCTTCAAGTGTTCCCTCAACCGATCCACGGACTTAACATCGGAGTTGGCGGGCAAAATAACATGACTACATTCACAGGAATTAACATCTGTTAATTTGCTGTAGTAACAAAACAATTTCGAGTTCGATCTTTTCGCAGGACACTCTTTACCCCAAACACCAACCACCAGCAGACAAAAAACCACACCAAACAAATTCATTTTTTAAGAATTTTTTATTTTCATATAAACATTTTTGGTTTCATTGACAACCAAAGCTGACCGGGCACGCGATTACTCGATAATGAAACTTAAAGTGTTCAACTTTTTTCCAATGCCGATCCGATCTCAACTGTTTGGTTGCTGAAGAATGACTGAACTAAGTATGGGTGTATTTGGACGTATTGTAGGGTGGATATATATTAATATGTTTAAGAGTTTAAGTAACCAGATCTTGATGCACAATAACGCAATTCTACTTGGTCCGGTTTACCGACAAAAATTTAAACGAGAGTAAAACTTATAGTGGGATTTATGTAGCCAAAGGCGTCTAGACTTGTTGTAGGTAATATGGTGAAGTATTTTATAATTGGTTAATGTATTTAAATGTTAAAAGAAATGAGTAAATAAAAGTGTTAATCATCTGTAATTTTATTTTACTTTTATGTGACATGTAAAAATGTGGTTTTAAAGCTCTGAAGGAAGAATAATAATTAGTTTTATTTTTAGGAAGCTGATGCAAAAATCATGTTGCTTTATTAAAAGACAATACTTGAGTCGGATAGTTGAATAAATATACAGTTATTGCTTATTATATTATATATAATCATCGTAATGTATACTATACGTGATTGTATTATAGAATGATAGGATGTGTGCCTTATAATTCATAGTAAATTTGTATTCAAATGTGCAAAATACTTAAGAAGTTATTAAAAAATAATTATGTATCTTATAAAATGGTTTTTAAAATGTAATACATATAAAAAAATACTGTTTTACTGTGTTTTTAAAGATAATAGGTAATAAAATTAATTTTTTTTATTTAATTTGAAAATCCATTTTAACAGAAAAATTAAGAAGGCTTTAAAATAAAGCATAAAGAATTCTAGTAAGTATAATATAGTATACATATTTGTACCAAAAAATAAAAAAGGCAAGGATGCACTAGACAAATTTAAACTGATAAATTATAATTAATTTACTTAAATTTCGTATTTAGAATTTTCGTATCTTGCAGAATAGGTTTTTAATTATATATATAATATTGGTAATTTAAAAAAAATTGTTTTGTTGCTATGTTTACTTAAATAAAATGCTTTTTATTTCTGGTGTAAAATTTGACTTATTTTCATTAATATATTAGATATAAAAATAATGCAATAGACGATTTTTTTAAATGGACTGCAGTCTACCCATGGGTAAATATTATTAAAAAATAATCTAGCAACTTAAGAGAGGTTTAAATTAAAAACTATAATATTAGGAAAAAATAAATGATTTGTACTACTCTGTTAAAATGAATTAGTCAAAAATAACTAATTATAAGTCATATTTGACTAATTGTCACAGCGAAAAAGCAGTCACTAATAATCATTGGTGATATTTTGATATTTTGATATTTTTTAATTTAACCCAATTAATTAAAAATTTTACAGCACAGAAAAATATTTTTAGGTTTTTATTAAAATTTTTAAACAGTTTATGGGCACGTTACAATTATATTTACTTTTAAATTAAGGTATTGATAGTATTCTCCTTTAAAAAGTTTTATTATATGTAAAATAAAGGGTCCGGATTACCTTTTAAGTCATCTTTCTAAACACATAAAGTGTAAACACTAAAGTATAAAACAATCTATAAATCTTTATATGTTGTCTCTATAGCAATCTTAATAGAAAATTGCCCAACTCAAACAAAAATATCCTGTACTTTATCATCATGTGCATCAAGGCGAAAAATTAACAGGTCTCACATACGTATCGCCTTATTATAAAATTTGCCGATTTTAAAAAGAATTGCATAACTTTAAAGAGCTACTTGCATTTTTTGCACAACTGCATTAAATTCTTTATATTCCTTATTTAATGATTTTATTTTTTGGGTGTCACGCAATAACTAAATTGATTTAACCAAAATTATATAATTACCTTTCTATATGTAAAATTATTATATGTACAGGGTGATTTTAAATATTACACGAGAATTTGTAGTGAAAATATGGTTAAGTTATTTTTTTGATATACACTGTTACAAAAATCAGATTTGTTAACATGAGTTTATAGTTGGTTAATTTTATTTTGTAAAATTTTAACATATTTTTTTTGTATAAAACCAGGGTTTGTAATTATTTTAACAAAGAAAAATTTTTTTTCTACGACCACTATGTAAAAGTCACATTTCATATTGGCATCAAGGATTAGAAATTGAATCTTTTCATTGGCAAGGCAAAACACGAATGTAAAGTGACATTTCTTTGTGAAAAGTGACAGGTCTGTGTGAAAAGAAATTGACAGCATCGTTTGACATTCGTTTCAAATTTTGTATTGTATTTGTATATGTATTTAGAACACAATTAATTGTGTTTGTATAATAAATTCTCGTTTTTAGTGCCTTTATTTAAATTGAGAAGGTAAGTTTACTGTAGTAGTAACTTATACCTTAAAAATTAAAAGAATAAGATGAAAGAATTTTAACAGCTGTCAAACACGTTTTTAGGTTATTTTGTTTTGTATTTGAATATAATAAAAAATAAAAGGGTCGGAGAAAAAACATTGTGTTTCACTTGTGAGAAAAGCTTTCTTCAAGCTCAATGCACACTCGGTCTAACGGCCTCGTGGGCAACTTAAACACTCGCATGAAAAAGTCGCTTTTCAAAACTTGTAAAACAAGTAACTATTACCAAAAGTTTTATTATAAAATGCAATTTTGTGAGTATTTTGTTAATTTTCAAAGGTTACAGATTATTTTTTTTATGCTTAGCAAATTATTTCCATGAAAAATTACACCTGATTTAAGGCATCTATATAATTAAAACATTTCCCACTGACTTTTTATCGTCATACATCCAGTTTTATCACAACAATACGCATTAACAAGTTCAACAGAGTCTGCAACCTATGTTTCTGCTTACTTTATTCTTATTCGGAACGTGATCGTATAACAACTGTTCATATTATATTACCAGAAATCTGTTATTATTGTTATTCGGATTTCTTATACTTATTTAACCTGCAAAGTATCCGAAAAAAGTTGCCATCACTAGTTTTTAAACTAAAGTTACAGTGTATCTACTGATAGTTAAATTGTACAATTTTTTTATAATTTGATAATTTTAGAATGGTGTGTTATTTTATTGTGTGTATGTTATTTTTGTGTTCATTTATGTATGTATGTGGGAATTACACACCATACCACATATTAATATTGATACTTTTATTTCGCCAATTAAGTTAAACTGATGTTGCGGAAAATTTAAGTAAATTTATCAAACGATTGTTATAAAATTATTTTCATTATTAAATAAAAAATTACCGATTTACATAATTATACCGTAATTTCTAATAGATTTAGCGTGCACGTAATGGTGTAGTTGGCAAGCGTGGTACGTAGTATCAAGTGGGCATAATGAAAAAAACACAATTAAAATAAATATCCTATAGGAAAGACTTTTTTTATTTTGTAATTACTATTTATGTTTCTTTATTGCGTTGGGATCGGGTTGTTTTTGCATGAGGATTTTGTATTAAAATTTAAATAAAAATTAATATGAAGATTAACTACACAGAGAAAACTCCTTTTTTATATATAATTATGGAATGATTACTTAGTATACTAAAAAATTTAAAAGCACCTCATACAATAAATTTCGAAACCTTCAACGCTGAATAAATTTATAATTTTTAGATAACGATAATAAAAATCTTTGTCTTATTTTATTTGACTGTTAAACATATTGTTTTTTCTAGGAAAACGTTTTGGGCGTGGCCTCGCCTCCCTCCAACGCGCGTAACAGTACACTCTTAGAAAAGACCTGGTATTTGCAATGAAAATTTAGTTCCCAGAACCAATTTTATTAGTGAAAATAGGCACAACAAAAAAATATGTTGTGGGAACTAATACAAATTTGTTTTTACAGTTTGTTGTCGGAACAGCCAATATTGGTAGCTCCAACCAACAAGTTTAAGTGCATCGAAATTAGTTTTTTTTTTCATACAAATAATTGATATTTAATGCAATCACATTAGTCTGTCATTTTAGCAGCGTCTAAGTTGTAACAACTGCACTTGCTATTTATCGCAACAAACATTGTATCATGCAGTAATTTATTTTTTAATTGAAATTACATGAAAAACAGTACATTTAAAGAATTTAATAGTTGATATAATATAAATTTGTTTTGTACTGTAACTAAGTTATATTTAATATTAAATGCTTGCATTAGTAGCAACAACAAATTGGTATTATTCCACAGTACATACCTGCTTAGTAAATATAACACTTTTTGTGTGAATATTATAAAAAATAGAGAAAGGAAATTTATGCCCGTTCGTTTTATAAATATTTATTATAAATTAAAAAATAACAATATAACTGAAAACACCAAATTTTGGTTTAAACATTATAACAAAAATTAATAATTACTCTAAGAAAACATTTATAAATATTTTAACAATAAAACAAAAACGATTCTTTGGTAAATATACACAGATTATGTACATTATGATGAAAGTTGACTATACTTCTTCAGTAAACCGTGATGTTTACGTGAAGTGCAAGCCTTTGTTTAAAAACTTAACAATGATTCTTAGGTACAACGTAACATACTTGCATGATTACAGGGGTAAGCATTCGATAAATTTTGAGTGTGAGTGCCTATAGTATAGGCCCTATACCAAAAATGCGACTTGAGCTGTAACAAAACAAAACAAAAAAATTCTCGAAATTCCGACGTGATGGAGACTTTTGGTGGGCACCATTGGATTCAGGAGGCCATTTTCAGTCGGAATGGCATTTTCACATTTTTGGATTTTTTTTCGGACCCCAAAACTACAATAGTTTAATTAAAGGAGTGCAATAATAATACCTAACCTTTAAAAACTGGAACCAATTCAGGTAAACCCCATGTTCCTAATAAATCTGCTACTTCAGTCCGCTCATCCATATTATTTGTTCGAGATATCTATAATATAAAACCAACACATAAGAATATATTCTTATATATATGAATAGTTAAAAAGTATGTCGCCACTGAATTTACAGGGGCAAATGACTAATTGTAATAAACTAGTTTCTTACCTAAAATATACACTACACACGAGCTGATACACAAATACAAAAGAAAAACCCCACCGAAGTCTGGACGC